ATTTACTTATTTATTTTATGGGATACAGTATACAGTCACTCTTCAGACACACCAGAAGAGGGCATCAGATCCTATTACAGATGGTTGTGAGCCACCATGTGGTTACTGGGACTTGAACTCAGGACCTCTGCAAGGGCAGTCAGTGCTCTTAACTGCTGAGCCATCTCTCCAGCCCCTATAAAATATTTTTAGAATATTCATTGTTATCATATATGTATGAGTATTTTGTCTGCATGTATGTCTGTGTACCATGTGTGTGAAGTACCCTTGGAGGCCAGAGGAGGGCATTGAATCCCTTCACACTGGAGTTTCAGACTGTTGTGAAGGAATGTTAAGTGCTCAGAGCTGAATCTCAATCCTCTGCAAGAGCTACAAGTACTCTTAACCACTGAGGCATCTCTTCAGCCCTTAAAAATAAAATGTTAAAAAAAACTTTTTGCTGTATAAGGAAAAGAAAAATATTAGAAACAATCTACAGTAAATGTTCCACAATACAAACCTTTAAAATAAGCCAAGCATAGTGGCTCATGCCTAATCCAGTGCTTGGAGACAGAGGCAGGATAATCTCTGTGAGTTAGAGGCCAGTCAAGGCTACATAGTGAGATCCTGTCTTAAATAAATAAAACAAAATTTTAAGAATCTTTAAAATGGCAAACATAATAGAATATCATACAATAATTAAAGTAAGTTTGGAGAAAAATATATGGGGTGAAAGTATGTTAATAACAGGGTAATAAACTTCCTAAAAGTTTATAGTATGACACAATATTACACACACTTAAGACCAAGGATGGACCAATGCAAGAGCATAGAAGTGTGAGACTATACAGTATGTTTGGGGGAAATGTGAATAGACTTTAAGGTCAGCAATAACAAGTGAGGTTAGATTGGGAAAACATTTCAGAATAGATTTAGGAGGGATTTGTTTGACATGAAAATTAAATTTCATACAATATACGTAGGGAAGAGAGTCTCACAAATATATATATATATATATATATGATATAGATATATAGATATATAGATATATAGATATTTCTGGAGATAAAAGTGGTACCACACAGCTGTAATCCCAACTTGCAAATTTGAGATATGATTTGAATTGCAACTTAGAGACATGAAGGTCAGGAATTCAAGTCCAGCCTGGGCTACATAATACAACAAGTAAAAAATTCTATGAAGTTTTATTTCATGGACAAAAATTATTCATGGCGTTCTACAAAGTATATATGCTATATAACATAAATTAATTTTTGAGTAGAAATTAAAAGGTCAAACACAAATTTTTGAAAAATATTATGAAAGAAATTCACATCATAGCCAGGGATGAATAATTTCTCTAAGATGAGATATATAGAAAGCATAAATACTTAGCTGGGTGTGGTGGTACATGCCTTTAGTCACAGCACTATAGAGAAAGCTAGTAACTTTCAGGCCACACAGTCTACATAGTGAGACCCTGACTAAAACAAACAAAGAAACAAACAAAAACAAACAACAAAACATCCCCCCTTTAAAAAATTATAATAACAATCTCAATTAAAATTCAGCAGTTATTTTTAAAAACCTGGGCATGACATTATGTAACTTTATTCCCTGCATTAGGACAGAGGCAATAAGCCCAGGAATCTATTGAGAACAAAGAACTCTTGGCAAGTCTTGATGGACATTGTTACCTGAGGATACCAAACAGTAATAAACTCTAGGGCATTGGTTGGAGATACTGTTGCCTAATAAGATATCCACAATGGAAAGACTGTGAGCTCATTCCTGACTCCCTTCCCCCTAAATGAAAGTGCTTTTGTATAAAAGAAAACCATGACGGGAGAAGGGGGTTCACTTAGCTATTACCAAACACTGTACTATAGGAAACCAGGCATTCTGGGCTTTAGGTGGTGTCTCATTAATCCTCACAAACTTTATATAGGCATCTATTTTGTAGATGAGAAAGTCCCAGTAAGGCTAATGCTCTTAAATTTAAAACCAAGTAGTAAAAATAAAATATACTGAATCCCAATGAATAAATTTTCTTTTAGAGATATATTGCCGCTATTATTTAATTATTATTAAATTAGTCCTCCAACAGGAGGGAAGGGCCCAATCACAACTGGTTAGGAAAGCAGGAAGATATTAAAAATGCTTTGCTTTAAAGATGGACAGATTTTTTCAAAAATATACTTTTGCTGGGCTAGAGAGATGGCTCAGCAGTTAAGAGCACTCACTACTCTTCCAGAGGACTTGGCTTCAATTCCCAGCACCAGTTTCAGTGAATCCATTCCTCTCTTCTGGCCTCTTTGGGTACTGTACCCAGGTGGTACAGTACATACATAGAGGCAAAGAACTCAAAAGAGATTCACCTGCCTCTGCCTCCTGAGTGCTGGGATTTAAATGTGTGAGCCACCGCCACCCAGGATAATGTATATTTTATAGGGATGTCAAGGATTCATTTTTGTATGACTCTGGAGACAAAATTAAAAATATCTTAGTGATCCTGCTGGCTAATTTATATCAACTTGATAGGACCTATAGTCATCAGAGAAGAGGGAACCTCAATTGAGAAAATGCCTCTACAAGATTGGGCTGTAAAGCACATAGGGCATTTTCTTTTCTTTTTTCCATGTATTTATTTATTTATTTATTTATTCACTCCACATCCTGATCGCTGCCTCCCCCCCCTCCATTTGGCCCCTTCCATAATCACTAATTAGTGATTGATGGGGCAGGGCCCAGCCCATTGTGGGCGGGGCCACTCCTGGGCTGGTGGTTCTGGTTCTATAGGAAAGCAGGCTGAGCAAGTCAAGATGAACAAGCCACAGTAAGCAAGCAGAGGCCCTCCACGGCCTGTGCATCAGCTCCTACCTTTCGGTTCCTGTCCTGTTTGAGTTTCTGCTCTAACTTCCTTGGCTAATGAACAGTGACGTGGAAGTGTAAACCAAACCCTTTCCTCCCCAAGCTGGTCTGGTCATGGTGTTTCATTACAGTAACAGTAAACCTAAGACCATGACTAGCATTTGTCATTAAAATGTTTTCATTAACACAAGAATAAGATTTTGATGATTAGCATTCCTTATTGAACATGTTTAATATAAAAATAGCTGGTTGCCGGGTGGTGGTGGCGCACGCCTTTGATCCCAGCACTTGGGAGGCAGAGGCAGGTTGATTTCTGAGTTCGAGGCCAGCCTGGTCTACAGAGTGAGATCCAGGACAGCCAGGGCTACACAGAGAAACCCTGTCTCGAAAAAACCAAAAAATAAAAAAATAATTAAAAAAATAAAAATAGCTGCCTTTTTAAGCACTGAGGATCAAGTCCAGGATAATGTGCATGCTAGACAAACTCTCTCTACCTTTGAACTATAACCCTAGTCTACAGGTGCATTTATTATTATTGGTTTGTGTGTATGTGTCTGTGTGGTGTGTGTCTGTAGTATGTATGTGTGTGTGATAAACCCTTTATAATGAATGAGTCTCAAGCTCAGCCTTAGGCCTCCTGCTCTCTCCCCTAAAAAACAGTCTCTTGATTTTTCACCCAACAACGTGTCTTCTCAAGATAGAAAGAACAATCCAACAACAATTCTTAAATTTTATTTTTTCAGGATCACTTTAAACTCCTTAGAATTATTGGGCATCTCCCCAAGAATCTTTTGCATATATGGTTTCTATTAATATTTACTAATTATGATTTAAGATGGAGAAAATTGTTAATTAGCTTAAAAGTTGCTATGCAGGGCTTCATGTAACCCAATGTGTTCTGCTTTTTGTTGTGTGGGACAGGGTCTCACTCACAGCTAGGCTGATCTGGAACTAGATAGTTCTGCTGCCTCCGACTTGGAACAACCCTCATATCTTAGCCTCTCAGATGCTAGCTAACGTTACAGCTGTAAGCCACCCATGCCTGCTTTACAAGCACTTAAACAACATAACATTTTTAACATTTTTTTTCTTTCTTTTTCTTTTCTTTTTTTTTCTGATGTGGTCTCACCATGTAGCTCTCAGATAAACTACGCTGGCCTTGAATTCAGAGATCCACCTGCCTCTGCTTCTGGAGTGCTTAAAGGTGTGTGCCATTACACCAGGCATAAACAGCATTTAAAATGAAAATTAAACTCTGTAAACAAATATTATCCAAAATGTGGGAATGGTTAATTTTTGCAAACTTCTTAAGTTCCAATTTAATATAAGATAAGTGTGTTTTAGTTCTGCCTCTATCTGTAGTCAGTCATGTGTTGTTTTGGTTGGCGTATGTGAAGAAAATTTGACCTTACAGATCTCCTTAAAACAAACCAACAAACAAAAAAACAAAACTTCCATGGAAGACAAGATGGTAGAAAACCAATCTCCTCAAATTGTCCTTTGACCTCCAAAAATGAATCGTGGTGCACGCGCGCACGCAAACACACACACACGCGCACACAAGTCACTAAAATTATATATATATATATATATATATATATATACATATATATATATATATATATATTGGCGTGCCGGGGGGGGTGGATTGTGTTGGAGTCTAGTATATGTTTCGTTTTGGATAGAAAAAAAAAAAAAAAAACCAAACCAAACCAAGAACAGATGACACTAAATTAGCTCTTTATCACCTTTATCCTTCAACTCTGGTCTTGGCCTTGGGTGCTTTCTCCTGGTTCAGAGCTATTCCTTCGCACAATGCATAGATGCACAAATACATAAATTTGTAACCTGTGGCAACCTTTTTCCCTCGATGTTTCTGTACATCTATCTTGTTCTTCTCACGTGGTATTCCATAACGAAGTTGTATTCGGTTTGTCTTCCCTTACCGACAAATGGACTAGGTTTCTCGGTTTTGTCATCTCACTACGCCTACCCTCGGGTTAAGGGATAAAGACAGAGGGTGAGGACTTCCCTGGGGGATCAGCCCCGGGAGAGCAGTTCTAACCATCAGGGGCGGAAACCTCCGGCTTGGCAGGTCCCGAGCCTGCTTCCGGGAAGCCGACCGGAAGCCACTCCGGTGCTGCGACAAACCTGACTTCAGGGGCCGTCGTAAAAGTGTCGTCCCTGGCGCGTCGGGCCGGCCACAGGTTTCCGCTAGCTGGCGGCCGGGGGTCGGGAACTGCGGGCGTTCGTTTCCCTTAAGATGGCGGACGAAGAGATGGACGGGGCCGAGAGGATGGACGTCAGCCCGGAGCCTCCCCTGGCCCTTGAGCGGCCGGCATCGGTGAGTCTTCATCGGCTAGCGCCTTTTGTCCTCTCCACCAACAGCTTCCCACCGCGCCTGGGAGGGTTTGGGGCTCCGCTTTCTATGGAGGCGCTGGGGAAGGGGAGTCCTAGGATAGAAGGACCGACCCTCCCCCCAGCCCGATAAAGTTAGCCATCTCCTACACACATTCCTGCCAGCCAGATCTACGGAGTTTAATGACTGTCATCTATTAAAGCTCAACGTGCTCACACACGCATGTCTCTATTTTGAAGTAGAAAGAACTCGTGCAAATTAAGGTGGTTTGCTGTAAGAGCTGAGGTGATGTTGGAGAAGGCCATTTTTCGATAGATCCATTGCTGACCCTTCTTGATGATAGGAACTGGGACCAGAACCTGGTGTGATATAGCATTTGTCGGGTGGACTTGATAGTGGCAGCGAGTGTTGTGACTGTCAAGTCATGTCCAGATATCCATTATTGTAGCGTCTTGAAAACCCTAGATCTGGCCCCCAGTGAGGGAAATTTGTCATTTGTCGTGCCTTTTACATGGAAGAAGGGACATTTCAAGCGAGAGAATACTGGAATCTATACTTGGCTCTTAGATTTTGAAAGAATGAGGAAAGAGGAGAAGAATAAAATTGAGTCAATAGTCTGGCTGCAGGGAGAATACTAACAGAGCAGGCTAAAAGGTGGGGTACTGTTCACAAATGTTTTTATGTGGTCCGTTCAGATAACTAGTAGGGAAGGAGATACTTATAAAATACTCGATATTGATCACGACATGTTTTATCAGTTTGTCTATAGCTGCATATGGAAAAGTGTGGGAAACACTCACACCTGCACCCACACAAACCCATTGTATATACACATACCTGTTAGTGAAGTTGTTTGTAGTTTTAATAAACTCATTTTTGGCTTACTTTACCCCAGGAGACTCTAGAACATTCTTTTATGAGACAAGAGAATGACTCAGAAATAAGTCAACCACGGAGACTAGAGAGAATGTCTTTGAGATAAAAAACCCAGTAGGGACAGAGTTGGGATAAGAATATATCTACTAGGTCAGCACTTGGCAGTCTTCCTCCTCCATCCCAAAAAGTAGTTGAAACTCACTTCACCACTGGTAGTGTCGCTCAAATGAAAACAGCTAGAAAATGTTTCCAAGTGGCTAAACTGTTTTTGCTGTTGTTTGGTTGGTTGATTTTGGTATTTTTGTTTTGTTTTGTTGTTTTTTAGTGCTGGAGAGAAAACTTAAGGCTTTATGCATGCTAGGCAAGGGCTCTTCTTCTGAGCTATAGGTTAAGGTAGAAGGATCATTTACTTTCAGGAGATCCAGGCAAACCCCGAGCTAGACAGTGAAACTCTATCTAAAAACAAAAATAGAAAAAAAGATTCGTAATTAGATTTGTAATCTAGTATGTTGTAGTCAGAAGAGTTGTAGTTTCCTATTGCCAAAGATGAGTAATGTGTATTTAAATCTTTGCCATGTTAATTCTTTCCCATTAGCACTGTAAAACCCATTAATAAAACCATAAAACATCCATTAATTTGGAATTAGAAATAATGGTATGTAGATATTGAACAGAAATCTGTAACAAACACTCCTTCAAAGAATAACATATTTCTTTGGGCAAGGCTTTTTAAACTTTACAGAGAAGCAAGGAGTGGTGTCATGTAGCCTCAGGGAATTCAGTCTAATGATATAGATAATATAAATGATGAAGAATTTAGATTCAAGATGGGGTGGTTTAAGTGGATACAGACCTATGACTATGAAGCCGTTGGTTTTTGGCTTGAGCCTTTCTGCTTGACCCCAGAGTTCATCCTACTTCCTGTACTTTTTCAAGCTGCTTTTTCCCATTTCATTCTCCCTATTTAAAACCCTTGCCGTTAAGCCAACACTGCTCAGCTTGAGTCTTCAGCACCCCACCACTGTTTGCTTAATTTGTATCTCAAACCACTGCTGGGTCTTGTGGAAACAAAATAACAAATACAGGACAGCTACAAGCTGTTATAAAAGTTTCCGTTCTCATTAGAGTGCCTTTCTAGTTACAGTTGCTGATTTCTTTAAACTAAATTTCCTTTTTTTTAGATACAGGGTGTTTTAGTAACCTTTCAGCAAGGTCTAACGTCACCTAAGTAGAATGAAATGATAGGGCTGACAAGATGGCTGGGAGCTGCTTCTTGCACAAGCTTGGTACCTTGATTTGATCATTAGAACCAATGAAACTGTGGAAGGAGAGAACCAACAAATATGCCCTCTGACTTCCACATTCATGCTGTGGCACATGTACATATCTGCCCATACACAATAATAGTAATAATTTAAAAAATTAGAATGAATTTTTTTGTTGTTGTTGTTGCTTTTCGAGACAGGGTTTCTCTGTGTAGCCCTGGCTGTCCTGGAACTAACTCTTGTAGACCAGGCTGACCTCAAACTCAGAAATCTGCTTGCCTCTGCCTCCCAAGTGCTGGGATTAAAGGCGTGCACCACCATTGCCTGGCTTAGAATGAAGTAATAATTGAGAGTTATTGGACATTTATATAAGACATTGCATAAGATTCACCAAGATAAAAATAAATAATTTGAGTTAAAAAAAAAAAAGATTCACCAAGAGAGTTGATTATTGGGCTGTAAAAGTCCAAAAGGTCCAAGAAGCTACATATTCCCGAGAATGCCTTAGTAAGCTAGCCACTTGGAAGTTACCAGTTTAGAATCGATGATTGAGGCTATAGGAATCAAGTTGTGGTCAAGTTGTGTGCATACACACACACATATACCCAGAAACACACAGTTGAGAGAATAAGAGTAAGACAATGTCTGGGATGAAGTTTTTAGGAAAGGGTAGTTTATTGGATCCATGACAAGGACTGAGAAAATTGGAAATCCAGAGGGCATTAAGTGGTCTACTGGAACATCTGTTTTCTTTGACTGGATCACACCTAAATTACTTCTAAGAGGAAGGTGTCTCATGGCATGGCACTGTGATCTTTTTCTGTATACTGACACTGCATAGGTGATTTCATCCAGTTCTACAGCTTTTCATATTCTTATATTTGTTCAGTTCCCAGCTTATAATTTTAGGTCATCTCACTTGTGAGCTTGAAAATCATAAACTCAGTTGCTTGCCTGTCTCCACCAGCATGTCTGATCATTGTTTCAAAAAGAAAGCAGATAGGAGTCAGCTTGGACTGGAGAGATTGTTACAGGAAGACAGAAGTGTATCAGCTTGAGGAAGATGTTGGAAATGTGATAGAGGCAAAGATGACCTAATTATTAAGTTGAAGTAAAATGAAAGGAACAGATGACATCTGTATCTCTGGTCTTTGGTCTCTGCATTCATGGTAGATTTTAGGAGGGGCAGCAGGAAGGCAAATCAAGGGTTTTGTTATTCTTGTCTCAGTACAGGGCATCTCTTGAATACAAATGTCTCTCTGTCTTTACACTCATCATTGTAATCTAAGCCACCATTTGTTGCCTAGACAACTGCAGCTTCTGAGCTAGTCTCTTTCCTTCTACTCTTGTCATCTTCCAGTGTGGGGATGGGAGGAAGCCTTGAGTAAATGTGTGCTGTTGATGTGGACAAAAGCTTGTCAAGGAACATGGCCTCAGACCCATGGGAAAATTGCAAAGCCTCCCTCTTCACCACTGATCCCAGGGTGAGGCTCAGAGAGATGGCAAAGCCTTCTTCTGCTCCATTTGCATATAATGATACTGTATGTAGAAAAAAAATGTCCACCATAACTGTCATCCCCACTTCCCCAAGATGTTTGTAGTCTGAAGAGTGCTTCTTACAGAGAACGCGCCTATTGAGATTAGCCAATCGCACCCCCTTGATCCAGACTGTCTGCCGTAAACCCTGTCTCCTTGTTTATCTGTATGTTATAATCCTGCCTTCTTGTTCAGCTGTATGCAAGAGCCCTCCCTGTCTGTGCCGTATATATATAAACACAAGTGAGCTTTTGGGGTGTTGAGGTTTCTTCATCTGTGAGTCCAGGCTGTCTGGTCCCAGCTTTTTGTCTCTGGGTCTGTCATTTCTTCATTCCCTTGCCACCCGTAGTCAGGGCAAGTCCCTGGAGCGATGCTGGACAAAGCATTCCAGTCATTTCTCTACAGAGCAACCAGTGTAATCTTTAAGACTAAATCAGTTCTGTGTCAGTGTTCAGTACCTCATAGAGAATCTGTCTGGGAAGATAGATGTGTAAATCATGATGCATGATGACCCATGGAAAGGTAAAGGTGACTTTGCCTGTTCTTTATATGCTGTCTTTGAAGGCTATTTCAAATTTCCCTTGCCATTACAATATCCAGTTTCTATAACAGCATTAATCCTATATTTTGTGAAATAATTTTGTATAAACTCTAATCCATTGTCTCGGGTAGCTTAAGACAAAGTATTAAGACCTCACTACTTCCTGGTAACTTACACGAACTCCTATATGAGTTAACATGGCTCTTGTGGAAGAAGCAATCACTGTTTTTATTTTGATTGATGAAGTTTGTTTGTTTAGTTTTTTTCTCTTTACTTTCTTGAGACAGGATTTTGTTATATAGCTCAGACTGGCCTGTAACTCACAACTCATCATGCCTAGCATGAGGAATCCTTTAAAAAAGTGTTATGTCCCTATAACAACTAGAGTACTTGTGGAAATAGGCTATATTCTTAACGAACACCACAGAAAGAACCAGAAGAAATATTATGCTTCCTTAAGTACCCATTTGTTCCCCAGAAGCAATTCAGGTCCTGATCAGAGCCAAGTCCACAGTTATTCTCTTAACTATTCCTTCAAATAGCTTACTTAATGCTGTTCTTCTAAACAAGGTCTACTTGACTCAGTAGAGTGAGACTCGAACCACTTAATATGCTTTTATGGGAAAACTTTTAAAAAGCCTTTCAGCCCTTGTTTTTACGAGAAAGCTTAGCAATGGCACTATCCACAGGAAGGTATGTCTTTTCATTCTTTTTTAATGCACACATCCTTTACTTTGAAATATAAGAAAATATCTTAGCTGTTTTGCAAGTGTGTAGTCCGTACACTGAAAAGAGCTGTAGGAAAACATTGCATTTATCCAAAGACTCAAAAAGAAGTATGATCAGAGATGAAAATGGAAGGCGGCTGCTTAAGAGAGACAGGATGCTTATAAAAACCAGGTTTTGACAGCATACTTATTATGCTTTAACTCAAGAGTAAAGAGGAGAGACAGAAATGGAGACAGAAGAGACTGTGCTTGTTATAGCCTCTCGATATTGCTCTGACTCATTGTTAATGCCACAAATACATAGGGAACTCATGTTTACAGACAGCACAAGGCTAGTAGGAATAATGAAATTTAGTATGGAAGGGAGACTGTCAGATTAGGGCTGACAATATGGAACTGACAGAGAGGAAATAAGCCTAGATTTACTTGTCCATAGGACCATGGGACTAATCTAAGAGCCGTTAGTTTCCTACACTCTCCAAGTAGAAAATGTGCTCTTTGAAAGCAGGAGTTGTGTTGTTTTTAAAAGTATGAATTTGTTATCAGGCATGGTGGTGCATGCTTTTAATCCCAACATTTCGGAGGCAGTGGCAGGTGGATCTCTTGAGTTCGAGGCCAGCCTGGTTTATAGTCAGGGCTACACAGAGAAATCCTGTCTCAAAAAACAAAAACGAAAACAAAGCAAAACAAAAAGTACTTGTCAAACAATACAAGGAAACTTGTATGCCCAAGGATTTCTTGATGCCTAGAAATGTTTTCTGATTGCTAATTTGATACTACCTATGAAAAATTCCAGAGCCTCTAGATTTTGTTTCTGCTCTTTAAAAAAGAAAGAAAGAGAGGAAGGAAGGAAGGAAGGAAGGAAGGAAGGAAGGAAGGAAGGAAGGAAGGAAGGAAGAAGGAAGGAAGGAAAGAAAAAGGAATAAAGAAAGAAAGGAAAGAAGGAAGGAAGGAAGGAAGGAAGGAAGGAAGGAAGGAAGGAAGGAAGAGGGAGAGAGAGAAGCAGAAGCAGCCAAGTCTTTAATCCCACAGTTTGGTAGACAGGGCAAGCAGATTTCTCAGTTCAAGACAAACCTACTCTACAAGCCAAGTTCCAGGTCACCATTGTAAGACTCTGTCTGAAAAAACAAACAAATAAATAAAATTTAAAATATTTTTAAATCAGAAAAAAAGAATGTAAGAAGTGGCAGGCCTCTGAAGACTGTAGATGTCTAGCAGTTGACTTATGGAAGGGTGAGGTGTGGCTTGAACAAGAATCGACCACAGGGAAGTCTGTAGCTGCAGATTATAGAGTTGCAAACTTATGTTTTAATCTCCATGGGGACAGGGAAAATGTTCAGAATGTCTAGGATTTAAGTGTTGTGAGAACTTGTTTTATGGACAGTTAGTTAGGAGAGCTTTCCCTTAATTCCAAATGTTGTGGAGAGAATTGGTTTTTTTGTTTGTTTGTTTTTCTGGTCTTTCAACTTAAACATTTAATTCCTGTTGCAAGTGGAAGAAAACATTAAAAACAACCAAAAGGGGGAAAAAATGAAACATTCACCTATAGTAATTCCTGAATTTCTTGTTAACTCAGTAAGAGACATAGTCTATGATTTTTTTTTTTTTTTACTCATTTTGTGTGGGTGTAGGTATGTGTGTGCATACATACATATGTATGTGTATATGTATGTATGCACATATGGATATATGTGAGTATAGGTACTCTTGTGTCTTACTGTGTATGTAGAGGTCAGAAGACAACTCTTTTTTTTTTTTTTTTGGTTTTCCAAGACAGGGTTTCTCTGTGGAGCCCTGGCTGTCCTCTGTAGGACACTGAACTCACTCTGTAGACCAGGCTGGCCTCAAACTCAGAAATCCACCTGCCTCCACCTCCCAAATGCTGGGATTAAAGTCGAGTGTCACCACCACCCGGCAGAAGACAACTCTAGAAGTCAGTTTTATCCTTGTACCTTGCAGTAGCTAGGATTAAGCTTCAGTCAGCATGACTGAGATATCTTATTGGCTGTGCGTGTGGTGTGTGTGTGTGTGTGTGTGTGTGTGTGTGTGTGTGCGCGCGCGCTTTAATCTGGAAAGAGATCACAAGCATTTTAATTGAAAAACAATTTCTGAGCTAGGTATAAGAAGTATTACAAGCTCATTCTTGTAATTCTTAAACTTGGGAGGATGAAGCAGGAAAATTACCATGAGTTCAAGGCTAGCCTGAGCTAAATAGGTTTGGGTCAGCCTGGGCTACTAAGTGAGATCAGTAAAAATAATAATAACAACAACAACAACAGCAGCAACAATAATGAAAAATGAAAATAATAAAAACTCACCTCTCCTCCCAAGGCTCAGGGATCCTTACGGAAAAGGGGCTGGAAAGAGTATAAGAGTTAGAGGCAGATATATATCCAATGAAGGAAACAGTGTCTTTTGGACACAGCACGGAAGCATATGAATTTACAGGGGTTTTGCCAACATACACAAAATCTATGCAAACTCAAGCCAGGCTAAATCATAGCATGGAGATGGGAGGTGGACTTGAAACCCTGCCCTAGCCATGGAACCATGGTAGTTACTAGCTTTTGGAAGAGGGAGAGAATTTTCTTTTAAGAGTGTTCCTAGTAAGTCAACCAGACTCTAGAGGAAGACCATACATCCAAATTTGCAGCACAAATTGGTTTTGATGGGTTAAAAAAAAAAAGACACAAAGTTAGGTCTGTGGGGAAGTAGAGAGAGGTGGATCTGGGAGGAGTTGGGGGAGAGGAGCTGAATGTGATGAAAACATGCTGTATAAACCCCTTAAAGAATTAAAAATTTAAACCAAAAAAGCAAACTCCATAGTCATGGCAATAGTGGGAACCTTTGTAAAAGAACATAATTATACTGTGTCCACTGAGATGCTTCTATAGACAAAGTTACAAAGGCTTAATGCCAACATTTATGTTATTTTTAGCAGCCAGTACTTAATATTGTGGTAACTGAGAACGTCTGTTGAATACTTGTGCTGTGTTTGTGGGTATAAAGGGTTTTGAAAGGCAATTCTTTTCCTCAGGAGCTTCCAGTCTACTTGAAAGGACCAGTTGTAAACATTTAAATTAATCAATTTAATGGCCATGTGTGGTGGCACATGTCTTTAATCTCAGCACCCCACAGGTGGAGGCAGGCAGATAACTCTCTGAATTTGAGGATAGCCAGAGCTAAAAAAAAAAAAAAAAAAAAAAAAAAAAAAAAATGAGTTTCAGGACAGTCAGGGCTACATAGTGAGACCTTGTCTCTCACAGAAACAAAACAAATATAGATAGCCAGCTCAGCGTGCAGCAGGCCCTGGGTTCAGCTCCCGGCACTGCTAAGTGAGTGAATATTTGTAACTAATGATATTAGATGGGCAACAGAATGAGTGTCTTCCACGGTAAGTGCTATTTTAGAATAAACAGGAGGGACATTTTCTGGCTTTAAGTGTTTTACTTTTATGAGTAACTTTGTACTGAGATATATGAGATTAAATAAGCTTTTAGAATGAGTTTTTTACAAGGTGTGTAGTTTTTTTGTCTTTGCTGGGACAAAACATCTGACAGAGGCAGCTTAGGGGAAGACTGATTTATTTTAGCTCCCAGTTTCCTGGCTAGGAGGGCATTCCTATCTGATGGTTGGAGCCTGAGGCGGCTTGCTCCTACTTCTGTGATGGATTAGAACCGAGAGACTGGGGCAGAGGGTGCTGAGCAGCTGTGACCTTCAGAGCCAGTTTCCTGGCTTCCCGCTCCTCCACTGAGGCTCTACTTCTCCAGGTTCCACAGCCTCCCTAACACAAAGCTGCACCTCCAGCTGGAACCAACTGTTTAAGCATGTGGGTGGGCCTGTGTGGACATTGTATATTCAAACCACCATAAAGGTACGCAGTGAAAATCAAATCCTTCCCAGGGCTTTTTTCATTTTTAATTTATTTTGAAATTTTCAGAGTTGTTGTTGTTTTTAAAAGGCACAGGCATCATATAACCCAGGCCTTGAATCTGATGTGTAGCTGAGGATGTCCTTGAACTTCTGATCCTGTTGCCTCTACCTCCAGAGTGCAGTGTTAGAGTTGTGTGTCACCATGCTGGGGTTTAATGTAGTGCTGTGGGTGGAACCCAGGACTTCCTATATGCTAGTCAAGCACTCTACTACTTTAGCCATACCCACCCTTTCCCCAGAGATCTTCTATTTAAATAGAAGCATATAAAGTGTATCTTCTTACCTCCTTTGTATAAGCAATAGCATATGAACTCACTCTTCTGTACCTTTTTTTATGTAGCCCTGGCTGTCCTATAACTCAATCTGTAGACCAGGTTGGTCTTGAACTCCCTGAGACCTGTCTGCCTCTGCCTGCTGAGTCCTGGGACTAAAGGTGTGCACCACCATCAGGCCTTTTGCCTTTTACTTAACAGTGTAACTTAAAGAATATTATATATCAGGACATATATCTCCATATATTTTGTAGTTGTGTTTAATATATGGCTAACCCACAATTAATTCAACTCTTAAAAAAGAACACCTAAAATTTCTTTGTATCTATCTATCTATCTATCTATGAGTCTGTGTGTATGTGTGTTGGTGTGTGTGGGTTCATATGTGACACAATGCACACATGCGTGTGGATCAGAGCACAACATGCAGGTATCAGTTCTCTTTGACCATGTTGATCCTGGGAATCACCAGGTCATCAGGCTTGATGGCAAGTACTTATACATGTCATGTGAGCCATCTTGATTCACCTCTTATTTTGGATAAAAACATTGCAAATTGCTTTGAAAGTACAGAATTATGCCATTACTTGTACTCCTCAATCATTAAGAAGTAAGTTGGCTTTGATGGTGTGACCCCTGCAGTATATGGGCAGCACACATGGGATTTAATGAGTTAGAAGTAATACATAAAGGAGAAGGACAGGAAGTTAGGAGGGATGGGGAACTGAGGGGCAGAGGTTCATAGGATCAAATAAAATACTCTATTTTTTTTAAAATGAAAGAAAAGAACTTGTGAAAAGTCTGATTGTCATCTTTTCTTCCTTTCAGTGGTGGGATCAGCAAGTTGATTTCTATACTGCTTTCTTACATCATTTGGCACAATTAGTGCCAGAAATTTATGTTGCCGAGATGGACCCAGATTTGGAAAAGCAAGAAGAGAATGTACAAATGTCAATATTCACTCCTTTGGAGTGGTACTTATTTGGAGAGGATCCGGATATTTGCTTAGAGAAATTAAAGCACAGTGGAGCATTTCAGTTGTGTGGGAAGGTTTTCAAAAGTGGAGAAACAACATATTCTTGTAGGTAAGTATCAGAAATGTGTAGAATTAGTTATCATTTACAGCTTATTGTTTGCAGCATGCCTTTCCCTAGTTCATCGCTGTCTATAGTATGCTTAATCTTACGTTCCTTTGTTTTATACTTTAAATCTAGTTTTGCTCATGTGGCTTGATTTTTAATTGGCTCCTTGTTAAACAGTTCTCTCTTTTGTTCTGTTCCTCAGAAGGACCTAAGAAATAGATCTTTGTTTTGTGTATGTGTAATGTAGTCAACATACTCTTTCTAAAACTTTTGAGATTAGGCATATTTCAGAATTCTGAATACTTCCTCAACAGTAGCTTAATAGAACCTTGTAGTCAAACAGGTTAGATTTCTGTAAGAGATATATGAATATTCACAAAGATATAAATACTCACAAGTAATATAAAGTCTGCAGTCACATGTCATAGCATACATACAAACATGTAAATATATATTTAAAGTTTTTACCTTTTAGATTCTGTTGCCTGTGCTGAACTAGAACTCACTGTGGGATTATGGGCATCCGCTCACTATCCAGATTTCATACATATATTAAAAAAATGTTATATATATATATATATATTTACATGTATCTATGTATGGATAACAAAATAGAATTTGTTTTGTTTTTTTATCACTGACTGAAATTTGGTGTAAGACCACAAAGAAACAAAGCCTTACAGAATTTTTGGTTCTCAGAACTGCAGGTCAAGGGCTATGTGGGAACAGCTGGAATGTGGTTGAGGGTAAAAGGTCAGTTGTGTGGAAATTGGAGGCAGGTGCAGACTTTTTGTTTTTGGTAAAGGAACTGTCTTAAATGTCATTGTAAATCAGAGAAGTTTCTTACTCTGCATTCCTGCCTGAAGTTTTTGTTTTGTTGTTATTTATTTTTAAATTTTTATTTATTGATTGATTCAGAGTCTTACTATATAGCTTTATTTGGCCAGGAACTCATCGTGTAGACCAGGATGGCCTCAAACTCATAGAGATCCCCTTGGGACTTGTGTACACCTCTATGTGCGTACCTCCAGCAGAATTTTTTTGACTTTTAGATATTAGCACCACTTTTTGCTTTTCTTCCTTATTTGAGGTCATTTAGGTTATGACTTGACTTTTTAGCCTTTATCAGTAGAGTTTTATTGTCTATGCTTGGCTGTCATTTTAGGCTTTGCTGATTCTATATAGTTAAGAGTTTTGTGGGGCCAGGCGATGATGGCGCATGCCTTTAATCCCAGCACTTGGGAGGCAGAGGCAGGCAGATTTCTGAGTTCGAGGCCAGCCTGGTCTACAGAGTGAGTTCCAGGACAGCCAGGGCTACACAGAGAAACCCTGTCTCTAAAAACCAAAAAAAAAAGAGTTTTGTGGTTTTTTTTTCTGTATCTTACAATGTTTTTACTTAGTGTGTTTTGCCTGTATGTATGTTTCTGTACCATGTATGTGCCTGTACCCAAAGAATCCAGAAAAGCGGTCCTCTAGAACTGGAGTTAGAGGCAGTTATGAGCTGTCATGGTATGTATGATCGCTGAGAATCAAACACAGGCGGTTTGGTAGAGGAGCCAATGCTCTTAACCACTGAGCCATCACTTCAGTCTTAGTTAACAGTTTTTAAAAACACAGTTTTTGAAATGGTTTCCTGTTAATTCTCTCAGGAACAAAACAAAACATTAGCTCTTGTATTTGTTTTCTATATTGCTATATTGAATAGTAATTTTTCTCATAAGTTTTCAACCAAAGCTCAGTCTCAACTAAAGCATATAACATTTGTAGCCCTCATCTTTCTTAAATTTCTTGGAAGCATTTTGACAGTTAGGGATTGTTAGTATGTAGAAAACATGATTGCTGTTACAGTAGCCCACAAAATGTAGGATAGTTTCCTCTACTCCAACAAAAAAATTACTAATTTAAAAGTATCAATAGTGCTGAAGAAAATTATTATAGAGGTCTACAACTTGTCAAAATGGATAAGTGACTCTGGGGTACTCAGCTCCAAATGATGCCCCTAGAGTGCAGCCTTTATACCTATAGAACAGTCCTGAAAAGGAGGCAGGCAGCAGGACGGGGGAGTTTAAGCGGCAGAACACCAGGACACCTGCTACTAGATAGTGTCTTCCAAACATAACAAGGAAGTTGCACCCATGAAATCTTAATGTACAGGTTCCTGATCAGACCTGCATAACGATAGTACCAGTTGTCACGCCAGCATGGACAGGAAGACTGCATGAGGCTTTGCACCTAGATGAAGAGCTGTTGGCAGCCAGTGACTGCTAAAGAAGAGAGATCTATTTTCTCCAGGAACAAACTCCCTGGGGTTATCCAGTCCCAGTGGTCAGCCCTAAACACATATCCATATGAGCATGGTGTGTGTGTGTGTGTGTGTGTGTGTGTGTGTGTGTGTCAGTAATAAAGAAGAGGTAGTGAATTTAGGAAACGTGGAGGAGGACACAGAATAAGTTCCAGGGGAAAGAGGGAGGCATATAGATTTTGTAAAATGCAATGCTCATATGGAATTCTTAAAAATAAAATTTAAATTGGAAACTGCTTTAAACAGATTAGATGATATATTTTTACTGAGAATTTTACAGAGTTTTGGGCAACCTTTAGGTCCTGTCAGCTGTTTAAGTTTCACCCTCTTTTCCCTACTCCTTTTTCTCTTCCTCCAGCCCTGAGATAGGGCTTAGTATATAGTCCAGGCTAGCCTTAAACTCACTATGTTGGTCAGTCTTTCCACTCTCAACAATTTTTTCTTCACCCCAGGAGTGTAGAAAGTACAGATGTGTGACAGCACACCCAACTCCAACATTTATTTTTAAACTTTTTAATTTCATTACTTCAAATATTTAAAAATTTGATTCTGTACCTTGTAGTAACTTAGGTTGTTGTCGTGTTTCTCTGAAAATGTGAAGTGGTATCATGTGTTGTAAAAGCGCATAAGGGCAAAGAGGGACTGAGTGTCTCTTGATTCCGTGCTCATTCTTATGTGCCAGGTACTGCTCGGTATTTGAGAATCTTTCAATATATGATCAATGAGTTTTGTCTTATTGACACCTCAGTTACAGTGCACAGCATTTGTGAAACGTACATGTAAATTAGAGGGTGGCAATGGCAGATAATGAAAACATAATTTTCCTATAGTTTTCCACATAATTAACAGTTTAAAAGCCAAGTAAAGCTCTAAGTTATAAACTGAACATCCTGTGGACTCAAGTGTCTTAGAAATGAGGCTAAATTATGGCAGCAGCATTGTCATTTTTTTCCAAGTGTTCTTAGAACTCAGCTTTTGGGGCATTTGGTGTTGTTTTGTCCACCACACAGGAAGCTCACTTACTTAAGTGTCAGTGCAGGTTGGTTTTTGGAATCTAATTCTTTATCTTCTTTAGGGATTGTGCAATTGATCCAACGTGTGTGCTCTGTATGGACTGCTTCCAGAGTAGTGTTCATAAAAACCATCGTTACAAGGTATGAAAACTATATACATGAAGTCACTTAGTGGGAATCTGATGACCGTGTGGTCTAAGCTTTTGAGCTGTTTTATTTTCTGCTAAGTAGCTCTGATATGTGTCTTTAATCATACTTGGATAATGTATGAAGCGATTAGACCAATTTGAGATTTTAAAACTGTATATGTGAGTTCTAGTTTCCTACATTCTTGGACAATTTGACTCTCTGTAAGTTGTTTTAAAATTATCAATTCTCAGGAAACTTCTGAGCATAGTAGGCAATGCATCAGTCTCTAAACTTTTCTTCTTGTGCTCTCATAATAATGGGGTTGAGGTTGCCTTTTCTGTTGAATTATTAAGCAGTTTTGTTATTAGAGCTAAAATGTATTTCTCTCATAATAATGCTGGTTCTGTATTCTGAGCTCAGACAGACATGATGTTTCATATTTCTCTTTGTATATATAATATGCCTCAAGTACTGTGTAAAATGTAAACAACATTTTGAAGTTACATAGTCCATATGTTTTGTAAACTTGAAAGTTCTAGGCCAGCACAGACTACATACATAAAAAGAGAGGCTTTTGAATAACAAAGAAAAAGTTATGTCTATAAGCTTAAACAAATTATTCTTGAAAGGTGAGTACACAGAGAATGGAACGTTTTTAGAGTTGGTCACATAGGGAACTTTAATAGTATTGAAATTTCCTGTGTCTGGACTCCAGATTAGTATTGTTCATTTCCTTGTTAAATTTTGCAAATGACCTGTACCTTGAGTAGATTCTCTGACAAGATATACTTTATAAGAGAAAGGAGCACAGCTGTTAGCCATGGGCAGGAGTAAGGAGCACTATGTAATGCACCAGAGAAGAGGGGAGAGGAGAAGGGCAAGGGCAGACTCCATCTCCAGGCGGGGTAAAAGCCAACTGAAAAATTTATTTATATTCTATATCATTCAGTTTTCCTAGATCCTTTTCAGTATACTGTGTAGGTAAATACCTAATTTTATCTGTGTTTGGGTTCGACTTTGAGCCTTACGTGAGGTTGGCAAGCACTCTATCATGGAGCTAGATTCCCAGTCGTTGTATGCTGTCTTGCAGTGCTGGAGGCTGAAGCTGGTGTGCTTTGTACACACTTGTCAGGCGAGAGCTCTATCGTGGTGCTATAGCATAGTCCAATAAATACAGTCTTTGAGGTAATGAGAACTGAACTTAGTCAAACATGCTAGGCAAGTGGTGTTGTACCACTGAACTGTATTCCCAGTTCTAATACCTTTTTAATGCTATAATATTTGTGTGTATGTTTTGTGTGTTTCTAAGACAGACTATCATTCTGTAAATCGAGCTCAAGTTTTGCTTTGTCATTGTTCTCAAACACTGTCTTGGACTCTTCTACCGCTGAAGGTTTTCCTTGATCCTCTGTTTATTATTTTTCATGTACAATAAGATGTTGCTTTAGACCAGTCCTCAACCTGTGGGTCTCAACCCCTTTTTGGGGTCACATAAGACTGTAGAAAACACAGATGTTTACTTTATGATTCATAAGTAGAAAATACAGTTATGAAGTAGCAATTAAGATAATTCTATGGTTGTGTGGTCACCACAACATAAGGAACTGTACTAAGGGGTCACAGTGTTAGAAGGTTGAGTAGCACTGGTTAGACAAACATAATATGTGATGCTGAGAATAGAGCCCAGCGTCTGCACTGTGTACTCAGGCTGATCTCCAGCTCATGGCAGTCCTCTTGCTTCAGCTTCTCAGGTGCTAGAATTACAGGTGTGAAGCACCTCTCTTAGTTTCATACCTTTCTTATTTTCTTAAACATTTTTTTTAAAGAGATTTATTTATTGATTGTATATGAGCACACTGTCCTTGACACACCAGAAGAGGGCATCAGATCCCATTAAAGATGGTTGTGAGCTACCATGTGGTTGCTGGGAATTGAACTCATGACCTTTGGAAGAGCAGCCAGTGCTCTTAACCACTGAGCCATCTCTCCAGCCCTTTCTTAAACATTTTTATATTTATTTTACTTACATGTGTGTTTTTATTCATGTGCATATGAAAAGTAAGTATGTCTGAGACTTGATCTGTAGAGGTAGATTGTTTGAGGTTGTTTTTAGTTTTGAAAGACAGCCTCCTGCCCAGTTTCTGTTTTTGTAAAATGCATATAAAATGTACTATCTGAACCATTTGTAAGTGTGTATGCAGCTGGGTGATGCCAAGTTTTAAAAGCGCATACTATGTACCCATTTCCACCATCTGGCTCCAAACTTCATTTCACTTTGTAAAACAAACGTATTCAATGGTGGCTCCCCTTTCCTTGCTTTTCTCCTGGTAGCCAACATTCTACTTCCGCTCTCTGTGAATGTGACTTCTGTAAGTGCCTCTTCTGGTGTTGAAATCGGTGTTTGTCTTGTGTGACTGGCTTGACTTGCATAAAGCTCTCAAATTCAAATGCAGCATATATCATAATTTCCTTCCTTTTTTAAGCTTGAATAAGATTCTACTATAGAACATCACATTTTGATTATCTGTTTCTATTGATGAACTTGGGTTGTTCCACAAAATTTTGATAGATTTAGGTCAGGTCTTTTTCTTGTGTTACTGGGCCAATTTATATGTTCATTAAAAGGTTGTGGGTTAAGGCTGGAGAGATGGCTCAGTGGTTAAGAGCACAGGTTGCTCTTGCAGAGCATCCAGGTTCAATTCCTCGTACCCACATGACACCTCACAACCATCTGTAACCCCAGTCCTAGGGGACCTGATGCCCTCTTCTGACGTTTATGGGTACAAAAAGATACATGCAGGCAAAATACCTCCACGTGTGAAATAATAAATCTAAAAAGAAATTGAAACAAAAGGACTTCTGTCTTGTAAATTTGGTTTGTGTCATTTTTTTAAATTGACTATTTATTTATGTATTTATTTATTTATGCGATAAGGTCTCACTGTATATCCTTGGTTTATCTGGAACATATAATAGAAACCAGTCTGGCCTCAAAGTCGGAGATCTGCCTACCTCCTGAGTACTGAGATTAAAGGTGTGACTAACCACCACGCCTGGCAGATTTGCTAAATTTTTGTTTCTAGATTTTGTGCTTTGCTTTTGTATTTCACATGTGCCTTATTTCTTGTTATTTTTCCCCCATTGGTTACTTCATTCTTAAGGCCTATATCTCATTTTTCTCTTATTTGACCTTTCATCTAGTCGCAAGTGTTTTTGTTTGTTTGTTTTGTTTTGGGTTTCCCTGCCCCCGTAGTCTCATGTAGTCCAGGTTAGTCGAGAACTCTCTGTGTAACAGAATGATTTTGACCCTCTGATCGACGTGCTTTCACGTCCCCTGGGCTAGGATTGCAGACATGTGTCTGTCTGTCTGTCCAGCTTTAGTCTCAGTGCCCTGTGAGCCCTTTCTATTACCCATGTACTGGTTGGTTCTCTTGTTGCTTTTGTTTTTCCTTCCCCTTTGTAGTTGCAGATTTTCTGAAGCTTCCATTTCTCTAACCAGCTTTCCTCCTATGATTTGTTCTTCCCTTTGAAGTTAACTGTCTTAGAATCCACAACCTTGGTTTTCTCAGGTCTCCTGAAAGGCCTCTTAGATGGATGAAGCTCATCCTCTAGCACAGTCAATACACTGCAGCCTGAATAAAGTCCAACGTGTGGGGTTGTGTGGATTGCAAGCTAAGAAAGGTCTCTGTAATTTTAGGGGCTGAAAGTGTGGCTCACAGGTGGCCTCATGCTTTCTTACTGTATGTGGTGGGGGGAGTTCTGAGAAAGAGTCCAGATCACGTTGTTCTTGTTATCTTCTGAGTAAGTCTATTTTTGTTTTTTTTCCCTAGGAACACTGAAAGGAAGAAGATGGTAGTAGTGACTGTAGGACATTAATGTAACTGAAGATACTATATTAAATAGTTAATTACTATGTATCATTATATTGATTTTAAAGGTTTATATAATAAAAATGAAAATTCATACACAAGCATTCTAGATTAAAAAGGATCTTTTTACTTTTTAATCTGTTCTCCATTAGTTCCCATTTAATAAAAAATACTATTATTTTTAAAATGTGGGATTACATTTTAAAAACTTGTACATTTAGAAGGCCCATTTTTGTTATGGTGAAATATTCTGGTGGTTGGTATTTCTTAGGTAACTAACTGAAATGATTTTTGTTCTATCCTGATTCTGTTGCCCTAAATACAGCTAAGAAGTGTTAGTGAATATTATTTGGGTCAACTGTCTTACTTTTCATTGCTTTATAATAAAGTGTGGCCCATGAAAAACTCATTTGTCATTTATCAGATGCATACTTCTACCGGAGGAGGCTTCTGTGACTGTGGAGACACAGAAGCGTGGAAAACTGGCCCCTTTTGTATGGATCATGAACCTGGAAGAGCAGGTACTACAAAAGAGGTAAGAAGCTTAATTGATGGTTTAAAATTTCTGAAATTTAGTGAGAATAAGTTTTATAAATATATATGGATTAAGATTGATTCCATTTAGAATCTAATATTTTTGTTCTAAAAGTCAATTATAACAACATTTTGTTTTTCTACTCTAAATTAAAATTTTCTCTAGAGGAAATGAATTCACACATACCCAAAACAAATTCAGAATACTTTTTATTAAAGAGTCAACTAGAAAAAAGCTGGGCAGTGCTAGTGCCTTTAATCCCAGTACTCAGGGGGCAGAGGCAAGTGGATCTCTGAGTTTGAGGCCAGCCTGATCTATAGAATGAGTCCGAGGGCAGGCAGAGCTACACAGAGAAATCTTGTCCTAAAGGGAGAGCAAGAGTGAGAGTGTGCACGAGCAGGGGTGGGGTGGGGTGGGAGGATAGAATGTATGGCCCCAAAAGAACAAAAATAAGTTGTTAATAGATAAGAACAGAATGTAATGAATATGAAAACAAAATAAACACATGATTCAGTAATTGCTTTTCTTAAAGGAAAAAGACAAATAGACTCAGTAGATACATCTTAGTCAAGAAAGGAACTTGAGCAAATCCAGACATATAGACACTTAGATATCAGGAGGGAAGAAATTGTAGGGCCACAGATACAGATGAGCTGTGGGAACCCCAAACCACTGAAGGATTCTCAGCTAACATACATCAAGATGAATTGTTGGCTGTGAGCCTAGCCTTTAACAACTGAGCCATCTGAGCTGGGCCCTTGTACTTCAGACAAGCTGTGAAGAAGGAAGCCATGTATAGGTGTTCCTGCCTGCCACTCCTCCTTTCTATTGTGCTCTGTATTCTGGACTCTTGGTCATCCTCTACAAAGTTGTAACTTTCTCCTAAAATGACCAGGCTACAATAATAAAGTCTCTCCTTTCAAACATTAAAAAAAAAAAAAAAGGAATTGTTGGTTTTGGTTTTTTGAGACAGGGTCTCTACATATCCCTGGCTGTCCTGAAACTTGCTGTATATATGGTGTTGAATTCACAGAGATTTTCCTGCCTCTGCCTCCCAAGTATGGGGAATATTACATCCAGCTATAAAAATGAATTGTTTTATCAGACAGTGCAAAGTACCATTCAAAAGCCAACATTCAAATGCCAAGGAAATACTTGGTAGGTAACTATTGAAGTACTTGACAAAATAGTCACAGTGTAACATTTCCTTCCAAACACCATGTCCAGATGGTTTCATAAATAAGTCTTTGAAAGTTTCAAGGAATATATACTTTTTGTGCCCTTTGAACTATTCTAGATCTCCATATGAGCACTGAGCACATCTTAGAGCCAGGTGATGCTCTTGGATGACTTTGTTTGAAGACCTCTCTAGGTATTAGAGTTGGGTTTCATAACTTTCTTGTGTTAATTCCAACTGACTTCTAACCTGTTTATAGAGAAGTCTTGTATATGGTTGTTGATCCTGTTTAAAAAAATAGACTCTGAAATCTCTAAGCCTTTCGGTTAGGTCATTATCTTTGTGTTGGTGTTGTGAGTTTGTGGGAGTGTGTTGTGCTCCCTTTGGTGTTCTTTGGCTGGGCTCGCATGTCCATTGGAAGGGAAATGGCCTCTAAATCTTCTTTCCCCTTTCTTACCATTTTGCTCATTTGTTTCATTTTATGTGAGTCCCCCGCTGCACTGTCTCTCTGAAGTATTAGTTTGACAAGGGTCACAGTGTGAGCTGCAGGAAACACTTCTGTGTCTTACCTTTGTCCCTAGTGCAGCTCGAAGGCAGTAGTGCTAAGGGGCTGCCTGAAGAGACACACTTCATAGTTGTTTTTTGGTTTGTGGACTAAAGGTGTCTGGAAGTCAGGAAGTGAGGAGGGAATAGGGGAAAGGGCAAGAGGATAGGAAGTAAGAATAAGCAGGATGTGTGGGTAAGTGGGATGGAAAGCGATAGAGTGGGTGTTAGGTTTAGAGAAAATATCCTGTTGCTGACTGTGCTCACCCATCTCAGCGGGTGTACTGAAAGCCATTTCTTTTTTTGCTGTTTTCTTCATATTTGTTTGATACAAAGCTCCAACTGTGTAGCCCAAACTGGCCTAAAACATGCTAAGGGTGGCCCTTAAGTGCGCTGATCATTCTTCCTTAGCCTACCAGGGGTTACAGGACTGTACTGTAATCTGACTGTTGTCTGTTTACCTCCTGAAACAAGGGCAAAGATTTCAATTCACTGAGAATGTTGTAATTGAGGGAACTTGCCAGACAGCAGGAAAAGTATTTATTGGATTATGAACTACTTTTTAGTGGGCACACCCCTTCAGAAAATGATACCCCCACCCACAGCAACCATTAACTGACAGCTGTCAGTCAGGACTGGGTGGGGCCTCGGGTGCCCTTTTCCCTCAATAAAATGTTGGAAAGGCTGGTCTTGTGCAAGCCTTGTGCATGAAGCCGCAGCGGCTGTGAGTTGACAGCAGTGGCCATGTCATGTCCTGGGCATCTTTTTATCACACAGCACCTAGTCTCCTGCTCTTCCGTTTTTGCTCCCCCTCTCTTTAGCAGTTTTCTCTGTGCTATGGAGAGAGATACCAATGTCTCATCTAGGTCTGAGCACTCCATCATCAGTCATTGCCTGTTGGTAGTTTGAGCATTATGAGCTTCCGCATTAGCTGCCTCCCGCAGCTATAAAACCCTTCTCTGAGGAGGGCAGAGAGCAGCACTAATGTGTGCATATGAACATGAGCATTAGTAGGCAGTTTACTAGAGTGAGACAGGGCCTCACTCTAGCCAGCGTTGGCATTGAACTCATGGCGCCCTCCTGGCTCAGCCTCCCTGATGATGCTGAGATTACAAGCATGTGCCACCACATATAGCGCAGATTGTACACTTAAATGAACACATTGTAATGGTATAGTTTATGTCATGATAAAGTTGTTATTAACAGCTCACTTATGAAACAGTCTTAGTTAAAATAAAAAATTTAGACATCATAAAACCTTCAAATTAACTTCTAGTTTATAACAACAAGCAGTGCCGTGAGGAAAAACATGGAATACAGGTTTTTGGTTTGTTTCTATGTTTTGTCTTTTAATAAAATAACTGGTCTGGTCTTCATTGTGAAGACCGAAAGATGGCAGCTAGGGGTGGGGGATTAAGCTAGATGTAGATGTCCAGGACTTAAGAGTATATGCAGTGTATAGATCTTGGTATCAGTAGGCATTTATAGCAGATAAGAGGAATGGAGCTGGTGAGGTGGCACACGCACGCGCACACACACACACACACACACACACACACACATACAAGATAGAGGGATGACTCAGATGTTAAGAGCATTTCCTGCTTTTGCAGAGGATCCAGCACTCACAGGGCACCGTTTCAGTTTTAGGATATCTGACACTCTCTTCCAGAGAATACCACATTTTTTTCTGGCCTCTAAGGGCACACATGTGGTACAAATATGCAGGCAAAGCATGCTTGTCATTAGTGTTTTTAGATGGAATAATGGTGTTTAAATATCTTTGGGTATTAAAAAAATACATATAAAAGTACTGAAGGTGAATGCCATGATGACTATGTTTTACCTTAAAATATTTGAACAAGATAAATAAAGCATATATGGAAAAATGTTGCATTATTAAGTTTAAATAGAAGTGTATTGAGAGGGAGGGTATGCTTTTCTGTTTAAAGTTTTTACTAATAAAAATGTAAAAAAAAAATCACTGAACTGATTAACACTGAAGAAGTAAAAGCTTGTCAATTGCTCCAGAATGTGGGAGAAAGGAAGGGAGCCTTACATACTTGCTCTAGAGAGCTAGAATACACTGGTATCAGATCTAACAAGATGTGCCACTCTAGATCATTCTTATGAATCTAGAACTTTCATGCTGACACCCCAAGTACAGCTTTAGTAGGTGAATTCAAATATGTAAGGATACAACACAGCCATTCTTTTCTTTCTTTCTTTTTTTTTTGGTTTTTCGAACAGGGTTTCTCTGTGTAGCCCTGGCTGTCCTGGAACTCACTCTGTAGACCAGGCTGGCCTCGAACTCAGAATTCCACCTGCCTCTGCCTCCCAAGTGCTGGGATTAAAGGCATACGCCACCACCGCCTGGTTAACACAGCCATTCTTACACTGCTCAAGAAATGCCTTCTTGGAACTCAACCTGTGAAGGTATTTGTGCCAGCACATTTGGGGACTGCTGTCTTGGAAAGCATTGTCAATTTTTTTTTCAGGGATATTTGCCTCAAATAAAATCCATACAAATCACATTTAATGTTGGAGTATATAGTAATTTCATCTGATATAACTGTTGTCTGGGAGGATTACTGCTAAATAAGCTCACCCTTTCTAGTTCTTTCTGAACTCTGGCTGTGTACTTCAACTCTGCTGTTCTGGCCCAAATTCCTCTCTATGCTGACTGATTCAATCTGGCTTCTCTCAGCTTCTCACTGAATTGCTCTGCTTGGCCTCAAACTAACTGGCAATTTGTTCTAATCTTCTGATTTTTGTTTTTTTATTCTCTGGCTTCAACTGCCTCTGTTGACCCATCATGTACTCAGGAAGGAACTCAAGTCCACTGCACTGCACTCACTGCACTGACTCCCAGCTGGCTCACTGCACTCACTGCACTGACTCCCAGCTGGCTCCCTCTCTGCCCCTGGGCTCCTCTTAAATTGCTCCTTATTCCTGTGCTTCTCTTTCCTCTTGAGAATTGGGTGTATCCTATTTCTGACTCATTCTGTCAAACCTTTCTCTGATTCATTACTTTGTTTGCTCCTCAGTTAGCCACTTTTCAAACATGGCCTCTTCCTTCTACAAGTGTACAGGTGTGTGTTCTTGTCTGTATTCCAGCCAGAAGGGTTAAAGGTGTGTGGCATGTCTGCATTCCAGCTGAATCACACAGACCTAGGTCTTGGATGTGATCCCTTGCCAGAGCAGCCATGTCATTGGATTAATGTTTGTACATTGGAACTCAGTGTTTCAGAATTCTTCTGTTGACCCTGTTCTGGAAGAACTGCCAATTAGATGAACTAGACTGAGCTAAAATATGTAAATACTGCAAAGGACAAGGTGCAGAGGTCATGATTGTAAGCCCAAACAAACAAACAAACAAACAACCCAAGAAAATTAGCCAAAAAGAAATGAGAAACTTCAGTATAGTTTACAAAGATTTCTAGTCTTTTTTTGTTTGTTTATATGCATGCTGCTCTTTAAGACAGCTGGCCTGAAACTCAGGCCCCTCCCAAGCATAGCCTTCCAATTGCTGGGATTAGTACTATATACACTGAAATAAACAAGAAACAGTAAAATGCCTGCCTTTCTGTTTAATACATTTAACAAATGTTTTTGATTGACCATCTGTGATATGATAGTAGATGTGATGGGAGATGTTTAATTCATTATGATAGAAAACAATAAAATGCTTAGGTGAGAGGAGGGTAATTATGCTAGACTCATTCATTCATTCATTCATTCATTCATTTATTCAGTCATCATTTTTGAGACAGGGCCTCTCTATGTAGCCATGCCTAGCCTGGAACTCACAGAGATCAGCCTCACTCTGCCTCCAAAGTGCTAGTATTAAAGATGTGTCTCATGTAGCCAGGAAGCTAGCTTTATTTTTAGAAATCTAAATTCAGTCTCAAATCTGATCTTGAACATTTTTGGATTTAAAATTAGATTGGGAAAGTAATCAGTATTCTGAAACTGTTTATCTGGAGGTGAGAAAAGGCTGCTCTAGGTAGCACATTAACTCTTGCAACACTGTGATTTCAGCGTTTATTCTCTCCACCTTGGTGAGTGTGCTATCCATATTCTGTCAGGTACATGGAATTGTGCCGAGCTTAGTGGAGCATCACCAAGCATAAGCAGACCTAACTAATAACACTGGCAGCGAGTTGTGGGGCATTGAAGACAGGCTCCTTTGGTACAAGTAAAAGCAGTTTCTCTCATATTTCTGGTTGTTTATTTTCTTGCTTTGTTTCTTTTTTATTGTTTTCATTAACTTCTGGTTCTCTTGTTCCAGTCGAGTTTCTTTCTAAGATGCAAATTCTTTTCTTGAAAAATTCTTTCATAAGCACCAGATGGAAGCAGAAGAGTTTCTTTCAACTCTTCACCTGAGAACGTGTTTATGAATGGTCAAAAGAAAATGTGAGGGAGGAAAAAGATGAGCAGGAATACTGTGTTCCAACATTGATATTAGTACCTGTGACACCTTTTCTCTTTAACAAAGACCTCTGGACACACTATTTAGAAAAGGTGACTTGTTGAAGAGGGAGTAAAAGCCAAATTAGAGACCACTGGTGAGAAGGCATAAAAGGTGTTAAAGAGAAGAGAGTGGCTGGGTTAACTTGCCATCTTAGCCATATGTAAGAATAGAGTTTAGCTGTATTAAGTATGTTCATATTATTATGTAATAGAATTCAAGTGGGTTTTGTTGTTGTTGTTGTTTTGCCTTGTACCTCTGAGTCTCTGCACACAGTCAGCACTGTTTCTCTCCTCCCAGCCCTCAGCCACTGACTCTCTACTCTCTGCTTCAGCACCTCTGCCACTGCACATACTTTGTATGGTCAGAATCCGAAAAAAAAAAATTATTCTTTTGTGATTAGCTAAGTTGTTCCCTCTCCTCCCATCCCCTCCCCTCCCCTGCCCTGCCTTCTCCTTTTCTTTTCTTTTGTTTTCTTTTCCTTGGTTTTCTTCTCTTTTCTTGTTTTGTTGTGAGGATCAAACTATGCTCATCCCAGGCAGGCGTTTACCACTGAACTTCACCTCCAGCCCGTTTCTTACTCTTTGTTATCAATACTTGTTCGTGAGGACTTTTCAAGTGACTGTGAGAGTTGGTTGAAATAAGTTATGAGTTTTTATAAGGTATAATAGATAGCCAGTTGTTGCATGGTATTATCATAATGAAGCTATTCAGAAAGACAATGTGAAGAATTTACAGAGGAAAATATGAACAAAAGATATTCCATAGTCTATGTTTCTTTTTGTCATCTGTAACATCAATTTTATACCAAGAGCTTATGAATTTTACTTGATTTTATTCCTGATAATATTGTAATGAACTCACTGAATTGGTTATTTTAAATCCTTAACATCTTCCTTACCCGTTTGTGTGGACCCAGTCTCAGTATATATTTCTTGTTGTTGTTTCCTCACAGACCTTGCATTGCCCATTGAATGAAGAGGTAATTGCTCAAGCCAGGAAAATATTTCCTTCAGTGATAAAATACATTGTAGAAATGACTATATGGGAAGAAGAGAAGGAATTGCCTCCTGAACTGCAGATAAGGTGGGAGCTGTCACAAGCCACAGGCTTAGTGATGGTTATTTAAGTTGCCAGACAACATTGGATATCTATGTTTGTGGTTCTTCCTGTCCACCTTCCTGATGTTTTCCTTCCCTCCCTCCATCTGTTCCTTTCTTTCTTCCTTCCTTCCTTTCTTCCTTCCTTCCTTCCTTCTTTCCTTCCTTCCTTCTTTCCTTCCTTCCTTCTTTCCATCCTTCCTTTCTTCCTTCTTTCCTTCTGTCCTTTCTTCTTTCCTTGCTGCCTTCCTCCCTCCCTCTCTCTATGTCTCCCTCCCTTCTTCCTTCCCTCCTTCCCTCCCTCCCTTCCTCCCTCCCTCCTTCCCTCCCTCCCTTCCTCCCTCCCTCCTTCCCTCCCTCCCTTCCTCCCTCCCTCCTTCCCTCCCTTCCTTCCTCCCTCCCTCCTTCCCTTCCTTCCTTCCTTCCTTCCTTCCTTCCTTCCTTCCTTCCTTCCTTCCTTTCTTCTCAAGCTTAGTTAGAATTTTTTATGATTTTGGAGTAGATACAAACACAGATATTTTGTAGAATAGTTTTATATGCCTAGGGCAAGAGTGGGTATGGGCTCCTCAACATAGAATCACCTAAATAACCTTTCCCCTTGCTTATTCTTGGGAAATAGTGTGCTAGGATTATTGCAAGCATCAGGATTTAATTTGTTTTTACATAAAACTCAGCAGTTCTAACAACTGTAAGTCTTTCATTGACATTAATAGTTTTTAACTTTTCAAAAAGTTTTTTTTTTAACTTAATTAAAAAAGGAGGCAGAGGCAGGAGAATATCTGTGAATTCAGGACTAGCCTACTCTACATAGCAAGGTCCAGGTCAGGCAGAATAATGTGGTGATACCCTGTCACAAAGAAATAAAAAGGAAATTCTGGACCTGATAATATAGTTCAGGCTTTGTGCTACTATTTCTACTTGTATAGCACTCAGAGTTTTACAGAACTACAGCACAAATCCATATACAGATTTTATTTATTTATTTATTTATTTATTTATTTATTTATTTATTGGTGGTGATGTGATGTTATTTATTCTGGTGAGTTTATTATATAAAAAGAGATAATTAAGGATTTTAATGACATTAAATGTACTTTTTTTTTTTAAGGTTTATTTATTTTATGTATTCACCATTGCTCTCTTCAGACACACCAGAAGAGGGCATCAGATCCCATTAAAGATGGTTGTGAGCCACCATGTGGTTGCTGGGATTTGAACTCAGGACCTCTGGAAGAGCAGTCAGTGCTCTTAACCACTGAGCCATCTCTCCAGCCCCCATTAAATGTACTTTTATTTGTTTGTTTGTTTTTTGTTTTGTTTTGTTTTTCGAGACAGGGTTTCTCTGTATAGCCCTGGCTGTCCTGGAACTCACTCTGTAGACCAGGCTGGCCTCGAGCTCAGAAGTCCGCCTGCCTCTGCCTCCCAAGTCCTGGGATTAAAGGCGTGCGCCACCACTGCCTGGCTAATAGGACTTTTGAAATACATATTATAGAAGATTTAAAGCTGGTGGTACATAACCTATAATCACCGTTTTCACATATTTCATGAGATCCTCATATAACTCTGGGATGTAGATATTATCTTCTTAGAGGAAAAAACACTATCCTCTCAGCAAATCTAACGTCAGTGGTTTTTCTGAGATCCTATAGACAAAGTCGGAGTGCTGGCACTTTATACTTTGGGGAAAAAAAAAAAAACCCTCCACCTTCCCCTATGAAACTGTAATACCAGTATCACTTAAAGATTTACTTTTATTTAGGCATATGCCTATGTGAGTTTATGTGCACCATGTGCATGCCAGAGGGTTTTACAGACAATTTTAAGTTGTCCATGTAGGTGTAGTATTTGCTTTTAGCCAATTAGCCATCTCTCCAGCCTAGATCGTCAGGTCCAGTATCACTTAAATAGAAGACAAATACAAAAATAAAATCTGATTACCTATCATTGCCTGCCTGAAGGTTCCAAGCCTGAATGCATGTCTCTGCCATTGTCAGTGTGTGAGTCACGGAAACGTTGAGTGGTATGAGGCAGCCTGCCGGGAAGAGGAGAGTGGAGAAAAGAACACCTGAGGAAATAATGCTTAATGATTTGTTTTTATTTTATTTTATTTTTTTGGAAACAGGGGATCACAGAGTGTTATCCAGTCTTGACTCAGGCTTGTGGGTACAAGTAACCCTTGCCTCAGCCTCCCAAGTATCTGTGTATCCATAGTACTATGCTATTTAAAATCATGTCATGTATCAATATTGCAGTGTTATTTCCCTATAGATAGGAAATTGCATAGTTCTTCTTTAGAATATATGATTTTTTTTGCTTGCTTTATTATTTGAATATCTATCTTTTTTCTAAATAGAGAGAAAAATGAAAGATACTATTGTGTCCTTTTCAACGATGAGCACCATTCGTATGACCATGTGATATACAGTCTGCAAAGAGCTCTTGACTGTGAGCTTGCAGAGGCACAGTTGCACACCACTGCCATCGACAAAGAGGTTCGTGACCGTGTGACTTATGTTGCTGTCTTACATCTACTTCTGGCACTCAGGTGTTAACTGCTTTTTAAAAAGATCGTTCATTATAGACTTAGCATGGGTAGTTAACTCCCCTGGACATGAGGTAACTGTTGTACTCTTGAACTCTCAGCAACTGTGATTACCTGAACAAGATTAGATCTGCCAGTGTAGCATCACGGATGGGGAGGGAGAGCATGAGGCCCCATCCCTCCCTGAGGACTGGCAGCAGTTAGTGGTTGTTGGGGGTTGGGGTAATCATTTACTTCAGTGATATTGTCACTAAGTTGTTCACACTCCAGTAAATAACTCCTTATGCTTGATCACTCAAACAGCTAAAATTATACGTGGTGACTTACCAAATAAAAGGACACAAGCAAAGTAGAGGATTTGTTTGGAAGAAGAGTTTTAGCATGAGAGAGGGTGGGATAAGAGATGAGAATGGCAGTTGAAATGACCAAATTTATTATATACACGAAATTGTCAAAAACTTAAAATTTTTGTCTAGGATTTGATCTGGGATTTTGCCGATTCTGGATAAATACTTTTCCATTGAACTATATCTTTAGTTCCTGGAGGTGTTTGTTTTGAGACAGGGTACTGGTAGCCAATCTGGCCTTAAACTTGATATACAGCTGAGGGAGCTGAGGGTGATCTTGAACTCCTGGTCCTCCTACCTCCGTTTGCTGGGTTCTGGGATTATAAGGAGTGTGTCAGCCGTATTGGTTTAGCTCCTCCCATGCCATCCCCAACTCCAATTTTGTTGTTGTTCTTTTGAGACAGCTCTGACTGTCTTGGAGTTCACTATGTAGATCAGGCTAGCATCGAAATCATAAGTATCTGCTTGCCTCTGCCTCCTAAGTGCTGGATTAAAGGAGTGCAGCACCAGGTCCAGTTGGCTTAGCCCGTCTTTAGACACAGTCTCATGTAGCCTGGGCTGCCTTTCAGGTTGAGATCTTCTCGCCTCCTGCTTGCTGGAGTCACATTCTTACGGTGTCATACCTGGATTTTATTCTAGCATCATTGTAATCAACAGTTCATCAAGCCCGTGGGTTGTGTGTTGCTCATTGATTGTGATTATCATCCCACTACCTCATTCTCATTTCCCTTACAATTAGGGTCGCCGGGCTGTCAAAGCAGGTGTGTATGCTGCTTGCCAGGAAGCAAAGGAGGATATAAAGGTAACTAACTGTCTGAATTAGCCACAAAGAGAAGTTCAAAAGGAAACACAGATTTATTTCTAGGGGTCTAAATAGAAAAGCCAAGGGATCTTATTGTTGTCATGGTTGGTGTCATGAGTAAAAATATGTCTGGCAACTTGACAGTTGAAGGCTCTATGCTTCCTTTATGAAGTGTAGGTCACTAAAGCACAGGTTAGAGCCTGCCCTCACTCCTCCTGTCATTTGTAGAGTCACTCAGAAAACGTCTCTCAGCACCCCCTCCACGTGGAAGTGCTGCACTCTGTGGTTATGGCTCACCAGAAATTTGCTCTGCGCCTTGGCTCCTGGATGAACAAAATTATGAGCTATTCAAGTAAGAATACACCCTGTTTATCTGAATTCTAAGTAACTTTGGTTTTATAAAAATGTTTATTATTGAAATTTCTTATTTCTTGGCCAAGTATCTATTTTGATTGATTTCATCAGGATTACATTTCAAGCGTATAATACCTTAAATTTGTTTTTAAATGCATATCAAATAACATGTTTTTTTTTTGGCTCTTGAGTCTTTGATGACATGATTGTTCTTGGCATCAAACGTAGCAAACTTAATTTTAATCTTTGTACATATTATTATAGAAACACTTTTTAGGAGAAATATCATATGAAGAAAATCATTTGACTTTGTTTGACTTACTCCACTTGTAGGTGACTTTAGGCAGATATTTTGCCAGGCCTGCCTCATAGAAGAACCTGGATCTGAAAATCCCTGTCTTATAAGCCGACTAATGCTTTGGGATGCAAAACTTTACAAAGGTAAGTAGACCTCTACTTATGCTACCTGCAGAGTCAGGGGAAGGTTACAGCTTCATCATAGAACCACGGTCTGTCTTGTGTGACATCAGTTATTGAACACAATCTTGATTTGTGTTATTTGTGAAGGCAAAGTTAACTAATTTAATTTTTCTGGTTAAAAATCCAGGAGTACTGTCTTTTAACAATAGTGCCTTTCATTTAGAAAGAGCCAGTTGAAAAGTGTTTAATCAGATTCATGTAACAATGCTTTTATTAAAGCAGTGTTTTTACTACTGTAGCAATCTAAACGAGACATAGAAAGTAAAGGATGAGAGAGAATCTGAAAGAGACAGAAGAGGAAAGGACAGAGTTAGTGTAGTTCTGAGTTAAATGGTAGAAAAAGATAAAATGGGGCTGGACTGGAGAAGTGGCTTAGAGGTTAGGAAGGAGCACTACTCTTGCAGAGATCCCAAGTTCAGTTCCCAGTACCAAACTCAGGTGGCTCACAACAGCCTGTAGCTCCAGCTTCCGGAGATCTGACCTCCTTTTCTAGCCTCTGTGAACATCTGCACTCATATGCACATACCTGCTGCCATACACACCTGCACATAATTAAAAGTAAAGTAAAATTTAAAAACATGATGAAAACACAGGTCTGAAGGGATCAACAGTAAGGTGAGTGATGGGAGAGGTTCAGAAAGTAGAAGAGTTGGTAGTGTCTGGGTGTTTAATTCATGATATTGACTGTACCGCATCTTTGAAGCTGTTAGCATGGTAATTACAAAACAAACAAAACACCTCTGCTCTGCTATTTCTAATGCCTGGAATAATTTGTCTCTGTCTTGGTGATGCCCTCACCCTCTGCTTCCTAATGATCTACAGGTGCCCGTAAGATCCTTCATGAATTGATCTTTAGTAGTTTTTTTATGGAGATGGAATACAAAAAACTCTTTGCTATGGAATTTGTGAAGGTAATTGCTATTTATAACTGTGACATAATTTTTACAAATGAAGTTATAGAAGCAGAGGGATACGTATGAAGCTCATTTTAAATTGTTATTAATTTCTTCATTAACAATGTATTATTTTATACAACAATAAGTATTTTCACAAATGGTAATAGTTGGATTAGAATTTTAAAGAGAGGATAGTTGGAAAATAGCCTGCTTCCCAAGGCCAAGCAAAAGCGGGCTATTACAGTCGTCCAGACAGTCACTCTTCTTGTCTTTTTTTTTCCACTCATCCTTTCTGATCATTTATTTGCCTGCTAGTAAAATTACTGCAAGAATAGAAGTGTCTGCATGAACGGAATAGCAGAAAAGTGGCAGGGGCAGGAATTAGGGGACCGGTATATTTAACTGAGATTAAAAATACAAAAATAAAAATAATACTCTTTTATGTTGTTTTATTGATCTGTTTCATGTACTGTACATTGTTATGTCTTTTTACTTATTGCCCAAGTACGATTGTGAGGTTACACAGAACAGGGACTTTGAGATTGTTACTTTGCCCTATTCAAAGATATATGATGTATTGACTGTTTTTTATTTTTTTGAAGATTTATTTACTTTCATTTTGTATATATGAGTATTTCATCCACCTGTATGTTTGTGAACTATGTTTGTGCCTGAAGCCAGGTGAGAGTATCAAATCTCTTGGATCTGGGGTTAGAGATGGTTTTGAGCCACCTTGTAGGTTCTGGGAATGGAACCTGAGTCCTCTGAAAAAGTACCTAGTGCTTTTAACCACTGAGTCGTCTCTCCAGCCCTCCTTACCCTTCTGAGACAAGGTCTCACTACATCAAACTAGCTAGCCTTGAACATACAAGGATCTGCTTGCCTCTGCCTTCCAAGTGCTGAGAGTAAAGGTGTGCACTACTGTGCCAGGTAATGCCTTCTGATTTTAATTTTCAGACAGTTCTGAGAGGCATAGGGCAGGGAAGACACAGAACCAAAGCTAGAGTTGGAAGCAGAGAGGAAGTAGCATTTGTAGGTAAATGATGGCATGGGGATAAGATGCCTTCTTTGGGCTCTCTGAGCAGATTGCTAACACTTAGGCGCTAGAGAGATGGCTTAAGGGCACTTGTTCTTCCTGAGGACCTAGGTTTAATTCCTAGCACCAAAATGTTGGCACATTCCAGTTCTAGGGGATGCAAGGTTTTCTTCTGGCCTCCACAAGCACTCCACACTCAAAGGGTGCACAGATACACATAGGCAAGACACCTATACACATAAAATAACAGGAATTAAGAACATATATGTATGTCTTGTCCCTTGGAGATGATAGTAGCTCAAGATCTAAATACTTTCTAAAGCATTTTAGACATAAGATTATTGGGTCTGGATAGAAGAATATGTGATCTGAGGTGAAATCTTATCCATTACACAAAAACTGATCTTACTTAGATGAGATACAGTTTTTGTATACCATGGTCATCTCTTAAACTCTTGGATTCTGTAGAGAAAGATTAAATAGGCAAATTGATTATAACTGTTTAAAAGATGCTTATTACTTGGTAGATGTAGTGTTGACTTTGATCTAACACAGGAGGGCTGGTGTGCACCACTGTGGACAAAAAGCTATTAAGCTCACTCTGCTTAATGGTTGATTGACTCTAATCGGTCTCCTGGTTCATATAAGTTGCTAAATACTTTAAATATATCCAGCTCTGTCCTGTTAGAGTAGAAGCTGTGAGGCATTACCTGAGGGTACTTTTTTTGTTTGTTTGTTTGTTTTTTGAGAAAGAGTAAACTACACTATTGTACTCTGCCATGATTTTCAGCTGTGTCTTTTAAATTTAAAGTTAATATAATAGTCTATCTCTGCTAGATCAAGTAGTTGAATTCATATGCTAGTCTTGTTTCTTGTTCTTGATGGTGTTTTTGTCAACTGTGGTAACGATACCAGAAGTCTGTTAACTAGACATCTTATGAGCTGTGTCATACTTGAGGCCATTACTAAAGTTTAGAATGTAAAGGTTTTAGTAGTGATTTACAATGGGTTCTCCACTTGTATCTTCCAGTATTATAAGCAACTGCAGAAAGAGTATATCAGTGATGACCATGAGAGGAGCATCTCCATCACTGCACTGTCCGTTCAGATGTTCACTGTCCCGACCTTGGTATGTATGAGGTGTTCTCAGAAAAACTTGCTGAGCTTTTTAAGACTTTCACTTGATGGGGATCAAATTAAAATCGTGTGATAATCACAAAGTTGGACTGCTTTCATTTGGGAATTTTAATAATCCTTCAGTGGTATCTACCTGGGTAATAGCTCTAGTGGTACTCAGGGAGGGCATGACAGGAAACGCCCTTGTCCAGATGGTCCCATCTTTGATTTCTAACTCTCTGGAGTGTTGTCTTTCCAATATCAAAACCTTGCATTTTTAATTTTTGCCTTTCTTTTGTTCTTTGGTCATTTTTTTTTTTTTTTGGTAGATAGATGCATTAAGGTAAAAACTGAGAAAGGGAGAGCATGCCCGGCAGACCCTCTGTGAGATGGTGCTGCATTGGCCTGGGAGGAAAAGGACTGCTTCCTTTTTATGCTGTTTAATTTTCTGTTTCTTCTTGAAAGTCTGATTAACTCTTCCTATTTCCCCTTTCAAAGGTCCAAAGGAAAGGATAGGGAAGAGAATTGAGTTGAGGTGAAGGAGAAATGCCAGACAGATAGCAATATGGCAGGAGTTGTGAGAGTTATCTTTTCTCTCCATCTCTCATGGTATGATTGCAGATGATAAATATTTGCTTAGATAAGCTGGGTAATAGGTTTGGCATAATTCACATAGGTATTTCCTAGCTACTGAAGAAAAGGGAATTTTACTTCTAGAAACTAATTTTTACACTAAGAGTATAGCTCAATAGTATAACACTTGCCTAGCATCTACAAGGCTTGGGGTTCGATTTTCAGCACTAAAAATAAAGATAAAACCCAAGCCCTAGAAATTAACTTCTGAAGTAGTTGCTATTCTTTAAAGACTAGGGACCTATTTTACTGTTCAATAAACATTTTTTCAGCTGAGCTTGGTGGCACACACCTTTAGTTCAGGATGTAGAGGCAGGCAGATCACTATGGGTTCAAGGTCAGCCTGGTTTACATAGTGAGCTCCAGGCCAGCCAAGGCTGCATAGTGAGACCCAGCCTCTAAATAATAAATATGCATTTGTTAAAAATTATTTCTGGCCAGGCATGGTGGTGCATTCCTTTAGTCATAGCACTTGGGAGGAAAGTGGAAGCAGGAGAATCTTTGTGAGTTTGAAGCCAGCCTGGCCTATGTAGCAAATTTCAGGATATTCAGAACTAAAATAGAGAGACCCTGCTTCCAAAACAAACAAACACATTATTTATGGGTGTGCTTTTTTTTTTTTAACTGAGATAGGAAAAATTTTAAGTTTGAAGCCAGTCTAAGTGCATAGTCAGGTGCTATTTCAAAAACAAAATGAAATGCTGGTCAACCAAATAAGTGAATAAATCAAGGCCATACTGTGGTGAGATAATGCTAAGATAATATTTTTGAAATATTCTACAGGCCCGACATCTTATCGAAGAGCAGAATGTTATTTCTGTCATTACTGAAACTCTGCTAGAAGTTTTACCTGAATATTTGGACAGGAACAATAAATTCAACTTCCAGGGTTATAGCCAGGACAAACTGGGAAGAGTATATGCAGTAATATGTGACCTAAAGTAAGTGATTCCAGTTAAAAGGGGAGGGCATGTGTTGAACAGTGTGCTTGCTTGTTTGCTCTGTCGTATAAGTAAATCTTTGATCCTCTTGCTTGACTAGGAGTCTCTTTACCTGATGCCAACCTAGCACAAGGAATTATAATTGCTACATACTAATGCAATTGGCTGCATATCTGGGGATCCAACCAACAACTTGGAAGTAATAAAAATATGATTAATTCTGTATGAACTTGTACAGGTTTTTTTTCTTGTTTTTATTTCAAAACACTGTAGTATAACAGCTGTTTATAGAACATTTGCTTTGTATAGGTATTAAATTGCCTATGATGTATACAGGTTATTTGCAAATACTTTATTGTTTTAATATATCTATCTAGGGATAGATATATATCTAGGGAATGGGATCTTGGATCAGTCTCCCATGAGTAACAAAAGACTTCTGTAAATATCTTCAGCAAAGTCTTTTTGTTTTGTTTTTGTTTTTTTTTCGAGACAGGGTTTCTCTGTGTAGCCCTGGCTGTCCTGGAACTCACTCTGTAGACCAGGCTGGCCTCGAACTCAGAAATCCGTCTGCCTCTGCCTCCCAAGTGCTGGGATTAAAGGTGTGTGCCACTACCGCCCGGCTCTTCAGCAAAGTCTTACTGACTGTAAACATAGTATAAGGAAGGACCCAAGGACAGGCCCACCACTGTACTTGGGCTGTCAAGCGACTCCACACTGTAATTTCCACACTTTGCACTTATCCTTCCTTCACTTACACATTTCATGGTTTTGTCCCCCTCATATGCTTTCAGTTTCCAATTATCTGTTTTTCTTTTTACTTTCCTTTTCACCTATATACCAGCCTTTTGATACTTATCAGAGTTCCCTTAATTAAAATTTCTCCCAGAAGAGGACTGAGAACTTCTTTTTAAATTAAAATTTGGGGCTCTTGGGATGGCTTAGTGGTCAAGAACACTGGCTGCTCTTCCAGAGGTCTTGAGTTGAATTCCCAGGAGCCATATGGTGGCTCATGACCATCTGAAAAAGGGATGTGATGCCCTCTTGTGGCATGCAGGTGAACATACAGACAGAACAGTCATTTATTAAGGAAAACAAATAAACTAAATTTTGCTGGCTAGAGAGATCATTCAGTGTTTAAGGGCACATACTACTCTTGCAGAGGATCTGTATTCAGTTCCTACTACCCACGTCAGGTGACTCAAAGCCATCTTTAACTCCAGCTCCAGGGCATCTCACTGTCTCTCTGGTCTCCACCTCCAGGGGATCTCACTGTCTCTCTGGTCTTTGTAGCCAACTGCAGACCTGCACACATATGCACACCCACTCAATACACGTCATTGATAAATAATTTTAAAAACTCTTAAAGTGGGCTGGAGCGATGGCTCAGGGTTTAAGAGCACTGACTGTTCTTCCAGAGGTCCTGAGTTCAATTCCCAGCAACCACATGCTGCCTCACAACCATCTGTAATGAGATCTGGTCCCCTCTTCTGGTGTGTCTGAAGACAGCTCAAATAAATAAAAATAAATCTTAAAAAAAAAATCTCTTAAAGTAAAATTAGAATCACATGATAGAACCATTCTGATTATTAAAATAAATTTTCCATTTACTTTAGAAGTGGAAATTCTGTTATATCAACTATTTAATAAATCATGGACTTCAAAAAACTTCTTTTTGCATTTACTAGAATAAAGTATGTACTTAGTTTGCTGTTTTTTAAAAAAGCCCTAAGATGGGGCTGGAGAGATGGCTCAGCAGTTAAAGGCATCTGTTTCTCTTGCAACGAATCTAAGCTTGGTTTCCAGCACCCACACATTGTACAACCTGTAACTCCAGCTCTGTGGCCTCCACAGGCACCTGACTCATATGCACATGAACACACACACACACACACACACACACACACAGTTTTTTTTAAAGCTCCAAGTCATATATGATTGGAAACAAGCTTTTTCCTACTTCTAATAACTGTGCATAATAAGGAAGGTAAATTATTATATTTTTAACAAATTCTCAATCTCTCAATTTTACCAATAAAATCTCAGGAGCCAAAATCTGGGGTAAAAGCTTGCTAGCTCAGAGAGGCAGAGAAAGCACCCAGCTGACCTTCCTCCACAGCTGATGTCCCAGAAGTTATATCTCCTCTCAGGCCTCTCTAAAAAGCTCCTTCAAACTCAATGTCCCTCCCTTCTACTTCCTGTGTGTCTCTCTATCAGTCCTCTTGACTTCCCCTTACTTTCTATGGTTTTTTTTTCCTAATAATCCTTTATTCACTTCCTGTCAACTGGTTGTTTGCTCCACCTCTTGACCTATGGTTGACTTTATTTAGTCCTGTTTACAACATTCAAGGGGAAAGCTCCTGGATTAAAAGTATGTGCTAAGGTTGAGCCATACCACAACTAAAAACAGATTTTTCAAGTAAACAAAGTCTCAGAGTTCGCTATATGATCAAATAGCCTGCAACAGTAAAGAAATAGGCTTCTAGTCCAACTTAAAAATAATTTAGTCTGTTTAAAAAGTAGGAATTTAGTAGTTGAGTAGATTCAGTAGTTGAGTGTTTACCTAAAATACCCAAAGCCCTGAGTTAGATTCCCAGCCCTGGGAAAAATAAATTGACAGATTTCTGGAAATTACGGTGGAATCTTGATTTTGCCAAATCTTGATTTTTCAAGACTTCTCAAAATCTTATATTTCAAAATGTCATTGTGTCTACAAATTTTTTCTTTAGAGTTTAGTAAATGGCTAAATTTAGAAAATCACACCACTAATATAAATGTTAATGGTGAATAAACCCAGTATCCACCAGCATGTAGTAGTGATCAACATTGCCATTTGGATTTGTTCCTTTGTCAAATTGTGTGTAAGTCATATTATTCAGAATATAACTTCCCAATGGCTGTACTTGAAATGTCCTTGTTGATTCACTGATGAACCATGGTCTCCTTTACAGGGGTAAAATGTAGTCACTGGCTGTAGTCTCATAACTGAGTTATTTTAGAGAAAACTAACACAGTTTCAATAACCTGCTCAACAAGTACAGTTCACTCTCAAAAGAGTCCTGTGAAATTTATTAGTAGTTCTCATGTGGTAAAGAGCTTTGCTTATATTAACTTCATTTGAATATTGCAACAGTCTTATATAGTAGGTAGTGTGTCTAGGTTTGTAGGTTACAAAGTTCCTGAGTGGTGGAACTGGAATCTCAGCCCAACTATTGTTTATCTGTGCTGTTCATGCTCCTTTTAGGGCATTGTGTGTGCCCACAGAGGGATAGAAAACAACAGTGAAACCTGTTCTGAAACCAAAGCACTACTCAGAAATACTGTTTAAGAAATAGTCATTAAACCCTGTTTTCTGCTTCTTAATATATATAAGTTCTGCAGTTATGCCGTATTCTCTATATAGGTGTTAACTGTTTTCCACAAAAGCTCCTTTTAAATCAGTAATTGCTACAAATACTGATGTATCTATAAGTTCTTTTAGACCTCTGCAGTCCAGACATTTTCTTTACTTACCTGACTACACCTAAATATAAAACAAGTCCCTTGGTACTCTGTTGACATTGCCGAAGGGAGTTTAGCTCTCTCCAGACAGTGAATTCCAGTCTGAGTAGCCTTCTCCAAGCGTATTTCTTGAAACCTCATCCCTTTTGTGGCTTTCCTTGTTAGGTTCTAGCTCCCCTTGTCCATTTAGAAACAAACGATTCAATTGCTATCTGACATGAAGAAACAGACAGCAATCATAGCTGCAAAGTCTTTTCTGAGTTAATGTTCCTCTGCTGAACCTCAAGAATCATTTGTATGTCATAAAGTGAGTATAGTCCCCCAATGCAGTCTGCCCAGTAAGGTCTCAAAGGGAGGGACTAACACCTGCCTTGTTCTAAAGAACAAACTCCAGTTTGATTTTGTCACTCAAGTCTGCAAGGTATCTGATGGAGTATTTGGCGTCCTAATTTTTAACTTATTCAGAAATGGAAAGTAGAAAAGTTTTATTTGAATTTTGATTCTATTAAGGAAACTTCCTTTTATTATTTTATCTGGTATCTGTGTTCCATTTCCGGAAAGTGTAGCATACCATCAAAACAAGTCACCCCATCTAATCCTTTCACTGTTATGTTTGCTGCCTGTCTCACTACAGACCGACCTCGGTCTTCTTTTCCATTTCCTTCTCTTGCCCCTTGCATCTTTACTTGTTAGATGAGCACTCTGGAATGAACCATGACAAACTAGGAATGTAAATATAACCTGTGTCAGTCAGTACATTTCAAATTATCCAAAGAGTTGGTGAAATCAAGGTGCTGACTCAGTTTACCTGACTAGAGTGCAAGAGCTGTCTCTACAAGGCTGATGCTGTTTCATGGACTATATTCTCAGTTCTCATGGAACAACCAAACCTTTTATCAATTTTTTTTAACCTTTAGTGTTTTTTGATTTGTCTAGCATATTTCAACTATTTGATAAGGTCCTGCTGATTGTATTTTTATTATATTTATTTGTTTTTTGATTTTGTATTTTTGGGTGTGTGTGTGTATGCATGTGTGTGTGTGTAAGATAGTGCATAAGAGAACATGACTCAGCATGTGTGGTATGTGAAGCTAGGGAACAACTTGTGGGAATCAGTAGTTCTTCCACCATGTTGGTCTTCAGCATTGAACTGAAGTCATCTGGCCTAGGGGCAAGCGCCCTTACCTCCTAAGCCATCTTACAGGACCATCACCATCATCGTCATCAACAGCATCAGCATCATTATTGAGACAAGCTCCCTCTGTGTAGTCCTGTATGTTCTAGACCTTGCTATATAGATCAGGCTGGCTTTGAACTCATAGAGACCTTCGTGCCTCTGCCTAGCTCATAATTATATTTTTAATTTTTAATGTATAGTTATCACATTGATGGCTGTCCCCCCCCCAAAAAAAAAGGAGAAATTAAACCATAATCTCCACTGGTTTTACAATTTGGACTTTTTTCTATATTTACTGTATGGTCTCCTGTGTTCTATAGTACTTCCTTTTGTAGCTCTTTTTGCTTGTTTGTTTCTGTGTGGCTAACACTGGATTATAGTATTCGTTGCATTTTCCCAGTATTCTTTAAATTTCAAAGATGGACTACATCTTATTCATATTTATATTCCCAGTTTCTCTTATGCACATACATATATATAACAGGAATGCATTTTTATTCAGTAAGTGTAAAATAGTTTTTTAATAGTTGTTGATCATACCTGAAAACTTAGTCCATGATTAACTTTGTTCCCATTGAAAGAAATTATTATTTTTTCAGCCAAAAGAAATACTGATTTGGTGAATTGTAGGTTATCATGAGCTTGTTCATCTCTCCAAATTTGTACGTCCTAATGTCAAGGCATGGTGACACGTGGGTTTACACTCTTCTTTCAGATTCTGGGTTCTGAAGTCCTGGAGGTAGGAAGTCAGCTTGAAATCCCTGTGCCTGAAAGGTTTTGCCTTGGCCTTTGGGCAATGGTTATCACAAGTCTGAGAATGTCTTGTGCTACATCCATCTACAGGTATTGTCCTGTGACAGGCCTGCACTGTGACACTCTAGGTTGCTCCGTTAATCTGAAGCAGAATTTAGAAAGCTAGGCTTAGCCTTGATTGTGGTCTTGTAGTGTTTCCCTTATCTTGCCAGTTTTATATAAATAAAGCCAAATAAATAGCTTTAGTTCTGCCCAGAGGTTATAATTACTGTAAGAAATTAGATATTGTCTGTAACCCTGGGAACCTTAAGGTCATCTCAGAATAAAGAAGTGAACTATTTCTTTTTCTGTTGAAATGATAGGTACATCCTGATTAGCAAGCCTATCATATGGACAGAAAGATTAAGAGCACAGTTCCTGGAAGGTTTCCGGTCTTTTCTGAAGATTCTTACCTGTATGCAGGTATGGTAATTCTTTGGTGTACCAATAAAATAAATTAGTTTAAAAAAAATCCATCTCTTTTTCCTCCCATTTTATTTTAAGACTTATTTTTATTTTATTTGTATGAGTATCTTCACAGAATATATGTCTATGCACCATGTACATGCCTGGTGTCTTGTGTGCCAGAAGAGAGTGGTGAGTCCCGTAGAACTTTAATTTCAGGTTGTTGTGAGCCACCATATGGGTGCTAGGATTCAAACTCGGGTCTTCTAGAAGATCAGTCTATTCTCTTCACCACTGAGCTGTCTCTCCAGCCCTTTTTTTCAGTTTTTAAAAAAGAAGTAAATTGTGGTTTTCATAGAAGAAAACTTCTGTAATGTAGTAGAAATAAGATATAAACACTAACTTGTCCCTGTGTGTGTGTGCAGACAATGGTGCTACTGTTAATGATTGTTGAATACTTACCACATAATAAGACTACAAAAAAATCTTTAGCTTATCGGTTTATTTTCTGTTATGATTCTTGTTTTCCACATGAGGGTATGACTACTGGCATTTATAGTCATATACACGTGAACTGTGTACTTTGGGAAGCTGCTGTCCTAAGTAATGCATTCTGTATTGTAGTACATGTAATTACAATGTATTGCATGTAGCTCATATATTCATCATGTTAAAATACTATGCATTTATGAATATAAATGCTGGCATTTTTATATCTTGCCATAGAGGAATAACAATATGAAATGCCCTGGATTAACTAGTCTTTCCTTGCAGGGAATGGAAGAGATCAGAAGACAAGTTGGACAACACATTGAAGTAGACCCTGACTGGGAGGCCGCCATCGCTATACAGATGCAACTAAAGAATATTTTACTCATGTTCCAAGAGTGGTGTGCTTGCGATGTAAGTTAAAGATTTGGTAGTAGGAGTAGCGTTTTTGTAAGTGCTCTAATAGTTAGTAGTAGCATAATTTTGTGCTACAGTTTTCTTGATATAAAAGTTTATAATGTGACTGTCTTAGTTACTTAAAATTATGTCATTAAGTATAAAAAGAAAATTTATTCTTTTATATTTGATTAAAAAATGTGTCTCAGGATCTGCCTTGGGGGATGGAGAAATGATTCAGCTCTTAAGAGTACTTGATGCCTTTTCAGAGGACCTCGGTTCAATTCCCAGCATTCACAGTGGCTCACAGCCATCTGTAACTCCAGTTCCAAGGGTTCTGACACCTCTTCTGGCCTCTATAGGCAGTGTACATACATGATACACAGATATACATGCAGGCAAAACAGCCATACACATAAAATAAGAAAGTAATTTTTAAAAAAATGTATCTTGGGACTACTGGAAAGATGGTTTAGTGTCTAATAGTACATAGTATTTTATTTTTGCCATGCAAGCATAAGGACCTGTGTTCTGTTGAGCTTCAGTATCCACATAAAAAGACAGCTATTGTTGTGGGCGATTGTCATTTCAGTGCTGGGAGCGTTGTGGAGACATGAGGTTCCCAGGGGCTCGCTTGCCAACCACCCTAGCTAACAGGTGAGCTCAGGTCCCAATAAAAGACACAAAGCAGATGCTCCTGAGGGATAACAACCCAAGGTGACATTGTCTCCATCGGCTTATGGACACATGCATCATACACACACACCACACACACCACACACACCATACACATACACTACACACACACCACACACACCATACATACACACACACACACCATACATACACACACATACACACACACACCACACACACCATACATACACACACACACACACACCACTCACATACATACACCACACACACCACACACCCCCACAAAACCATACTCCAGATTTCTGCACCATCACCCCCAAGAGACTATGACTTTATTTACTTATTCATGTGCATGTACCCATTTGTACAGATACAGAATCTAAAGGTTGGCATTGGGTGCCTTCCTTCTTTACACCTTATTGAGACAGTGTCTCTCACTGAACCTAGGTCTTACCATTTTAGCTGGACTGGCCAGCTAGCAAGCCCTGTGGGGTCTTGTCTCTGCCCCCCAGCACTGTGGTTATAGGTAGACACCGGATCCAGCTTTTATGTTGGTACTTGAGATACAAACTTAGGTCCTTACCACAGCAAGCACTTTACCCACTGAGTCATCTTTGTGATTACTTGTTTATTTTTAATGAGAAGGTTGCCATTTTGAGTCAGTTCCATCATTCCCTCCAGATTTTCTGTGTAGACCGCATAATCTGACCAGGTTTCTCCATGTCTTCAACACTCAGCCTCCACCTTTTAGTTTCTTGTATCTAAACCAATACCTTTTCTAAGGCACTTGGTTCCAAATTATACTTCTTTTCCTGGGATTTGTCTCCTCAGTTGTCTTCATCTTTTTTTTTTCTCCACTTACTCACCTGCCTATGAGCACACAGGACCCCTGTCCTCTAGAACAGTAGAAGCCCCTTGCAGAGACAGAAAGGTATTGGCTATTGGCTCAGGACCTCCAAGACCAAGTTCGCAGTGCAAAGGAGATTTATTTGCCCCTAAGGGACAAAGGGCAGGGACTAAGAGATGAAGACAGGAGATAGAGGATGAGGAAGAAAGGAGGAAGGGATATTTGTTGGGGTGGGGTTGAGGATGGTGGGTGGGCAGTGGATATCACAACAAAGGCTGCCTCTGGATAGACAGGAGACAGAAGTGGCCCATAGGCAAATGATGGTTTATAGAGGTAAAAGGGGAAACCCCCATGATGGGATGAGGTGTGGTCAAATAAGGGCATAGACCTTGGTGGCTAGCTTTAGGAATATAATATGACGGTTTTTAGCTAGGCAGAGGGAGTGAGGGAGACGGGCGAGAAATCTCTCTTTCCCTTGGCTTTTTACAAGTCCACACAATCCTAAGAGTTTGAATATCAGTTATCAGGCTCAACCAGTTATTGCCTTTTTCCCAATCTCTTCTTCTTGACAAAAGAATGTCCCAGTAGTCTTTTTTTTTTTTTTGGTTTTTTGAGACAGGGTTTCTCTGTGTAGCCCTGGCTGTCCTGGAACTCACTCTGTAGACCAGGCTGGCCTCGAACTCAGAAATCCGCCTGCCTCTGCCTCCCAAGGGCTGGGATTAAAGGCGTGCGCCACCACCGCCCGGCCCAGTAGTCTTTTTATAAAGGTCTTTCATTAATTAAAGGCATCAGTTGCCCAAGCTGAACTTCCACTTTAGTTGGTATTCAGACAGTTGTACTTAGACTAACATTTTTTATATTCAGACTCAGAATATCTTAAATTGATTTGTTACCACTTCTTTTTAATTTCAAACTTGTATTCTTTCATCTTGAATTTCCTCGTTCTATTATTAGCATTGCGATTAAAATGTTCTTCCTTACAAGAAACCTCAGAGCATGTTCTGTGTGTTTGATCATCAATATGCTGGAACTTAAGAGGAACGTCCCCCAGATGTGTTTGGCTGTGGAGTCCCTTTCTCAGGATAAAGCAGTGTGAGAAGCACTGAACTGGAGCTGAGTGATGGGCGCTTCTCTTTTCCTACTGTGCTCACTCAGATTTGATTTTCCTGTGTCCCAAATGTGTGCCGTCAGCCTGTGAGCGCCTCTGTCTCCTCAGTTGAGCCTTTTCTCTCTTCACCTTTGGTGCCTCGCATTAATTCTTCTAATACAGACTGACTCCACTACGCTGTAGACACTATCAATATATTTACATACTGCAGTGCTTCCAGCTTAATGTTCAGTGACTCCACCCATGAAACCTCTGATTCATCTTTTCAATTATTTTCCACTGTTTGAATAGGAATTGTATTCCCCCCTCCTATTTTTTTTATTAGATCTTTCCTGAGAATATCTCTTTCTCATCTTCCCCATGCTTAAATTCTTTCTTTGAGTATTGTGAGGGATCAAGCCTAGGGATTTATTTATTAGAAACATCTGCTGGATGTATTAGTGCACATTTTTAATCCCAGGAGGCAGAGGCAGGTGAATTTCTATGAGTTTGAGACCAGCCTGGTCTATAAAACTAGTTCCAGGACAGCCAGGACTGTTACACAGAGAAACCCTGTCTTGAAAAATCAAAAAAGAGAAAGAAGGAAAGAAGAAAGGTAGAAAGGAAGGAAGGAAGGAAGGAAGGAAGGAAGGAAGGAAGGAAGGAAGGATGCTTTGCCAGTTACTTTTCTGTAAGTTTTAGGAAATACCACTCCCATCCCCCTGTGCTTGCACACGTGTATGTATATTTTTCTTTCCCTTCAGGTCAAACACAGGCTATGTCAAACTCTTCCGCTGAGCTCTATCCCTAGACAAGCATATTCTCTCTCTCTCTCTCTCTCTCTCTCTCTCTCTCTCTCTCTCTCTCTCTCTCTCTCTGTGTGTGTGTGTGTGTGTGTTGAGTGTTGAGGACCTGTTGGAAAGCTACCTTAAAAAGTATACTTGTTTTTTTGGCCTTTTGAAGATTATATCATTTAGTTGGTGCCTACAATTTTTACTCTGATTATAAATGTTTATATTTTATATTTCCTCTGGATTTACTCTATGGAGGTAGCCCTGGGAATACATAGAACAATTTTGTGCTTATATTTAATAAATATTTATTAAGTAGTATGTGACAAAGTAGCTGACTTAACAATATATTTGTATTTTCTTTTACCTTAGGAAGACCTCTTACTAGTGGCCTATAAAGAATGTCACAAAGCTGTAATGAGGTGCAGTACAAATTTTATGTCTAGTACCAAGACAGTAGTACAATTGTGCGGTCATATTTTGGAAACCAAGTCCTACAAAGTGTCTGAAGACCTTGTAAGCATACATCTACCACTGTCTAGAACTCTTGCTGGTGAGTGGTTTTGTTTTTTGTGTATTTCTGGTAACTTTTCTAGGTAGTCTGGATAGAACAGTAATTTCTCTTTTTCATTGTTCCATATACTCCCATTAGATGCTGGAGTTAAAGACTGTCATTATTTCTGACCTTGGAGAGCTGTCACCACAATATTTATCCAAGGAAGTTTACTCATACTTTATTCTTACCTAAGGACCAACTTTTCTATCAACCACCCAGTTTCTAAATATTTATAATTTTTGATTTTTATATAAACGTATACCAAAATTCAGATTAGGTTTCAATTTTTTTGATATTTCTTTTTTATCTTTTAAATTACATTTGTGTATTTATTTCTATTTTGGGTGGGGGAGTGATATGCTATGGTGAATGTATGGAGATCAGAAGATATCTTGTGGGAGTTCATTTTCTCTTCTACCATGTGAGTTCTGGGGATTGAACTCAGGTCACTGGGCTTGACAGCAAGCACCTTTACCCACTGAGCCATCTTGCTGGCCCTCTTGATTTTTCTTTAAGAGTAGAATAAACATCTGGAGAGGCAGACTTTTAGTTATATATGGCTTATATACCATGTAAGATGTTGTACACTGTAGGATTGTGTTTTGGTAATCCTGTATTCCAAAATTAGAAGTCAAATGTTTTCATTTGGGAGTATCATTTATAAACTTAGTAATAATGTGGATGTGTTGGGGGGATGGACTGGAGATTGAATTTAAAGCTTCCTGCCTGCTAGGCAAACACTCTGAGATACACCCTCAACTCTAGTGAAAATACATTTAAATAACCCAGCTTTCCCAAATGTTATGAGTTAACTAAAAGTACACTAAGAGGGTTTAATTGCTTACCTGTTTTCTTTTTTCCTCTTTAAAATGATTTAGGTCTTCATGTACGTTTAAGCAGACTAGGTGCTGTCTCAAGACTGCATGAATTTGTGCCTTTTGTAAGTGACTCTTAAGTATATTCTAGTCATCTCTGTTGGTAGGTGGGGAAGAAAATCATATTTTTAAGCTCTTTGAATACTCACATTTAGTCACTTCACAGCAGAATGCTTCATATTGAAATCTGAATTCCCAATGCAAACTCCCCTATTTTACGTACTTCTCAAGTCTAGGCATGTGTAGTGTGAGAAATAATGAAACAGAGCTCACTGTGTTTCAGGACGGCTTTCAGGTAGAGGTCCTAGTGGAGTACCCTTTGCGCTGTCTGGTGCTGGTTGCTCAGGTTGTTGCCGAGATGTGGCGAAGAAATGGGCTCTCTCTCATTAGCCAGGTATGGTGCAGTCTATTATGCCCATCTGTGAATGAGTTCCCTTTGTAAAATTTTATTCTAGGTTTATTTTCCTCCAAGCCCATAGAGTTTGCCAAATATTTGCTCTTATTCTTTTGTGTAATCTCTTAGATATAAAAATTCTGGGGATCCTATAAGTGTTTCTCCTTTTTTCTATTTAATATTTATCCCATCTGGATTAATATGAAGGTAGCCAGTAAGAGCACAGGAGTCTCCCATTAACTTATTCTTTAAGACATTTCATTCTCTCTCTCTCTCTCTCTCTCTCTCTCTCTCTCTCTCTCTCTCTCTCTCTTTTGTCTGTATGTCTGAGCACCAACCATGTATGTCATGCAGTATCAATGGGACTGGAGTTATAGATGATTGTGAGCCGCTATGTGGGTGCTGGCAATCAAACCCAGGTCCTTGGGAATGGCATCAGATGCTGTTAACCCCTAAGCCATCTCTCTAGCCCCTATTTGTACTTTTGCTATTGGTTTGGTTTTGTTTCTATGGTGGTCATTGAATCTGCCCTAATCAAAGACTACCCTATAGTCTGAGAATGTAACTCAGTGCTAAAATTCTTGTGTGTGCATCTAGATTCAGCCGCCAGCACCATTTAAAAACAACAACAACAATGGCTACCTTAATTATTTTTCCTTATGTTTTAGGGAAAATGGGAGAAGTGCTTTTCTTTAAAAAAAATCAGAGAACAACTTTTAATGATACCACTTAGAAGAAAATGGTGTTATGATTTTTTCTTTTTTATTCTTTTTCTTTCCTTTTCTTTTTCTCTTTCTTTCTTTTTCTTTCTTTCTTTCTTTCATTTTTTTTTTTTTTGGTGAAAGACATTAAATCCACTTCCCTACACATGACCGGCAGACATTACTGTTACTCTTGTTTTGAAACAGGATCTTTGTATCCCAGACTGAGCTCAAACCTATGAAACCTCCTACCTCAGCTTCCCGCGTGCTAATATTACATATGTGAGCTGCCTACCTAGATTTGGTGTAGAAATTGATTTACTTTCAAAAACTAATCATTTCCATAGATTTCTAGCTGATGGAAAGTCTTAAGAATAAGTTTTGTCATAAAACATCTTAGAGGAATTGTTTTTTTTTTTCTTTCCATCATAAGGGTCTCAGGGATTGAACTCAGTGTCAGCTTGGTAGCATCTGTACCTGTTGAGCCATCTAGTTGAGAACCTATTGTTAAGAATTTTGTCTGAGGGCTAGAAGATATCTCTGTGGGTAAAGCTCTGGTTGCACACACATGAGGACCAGCGTTTAGGGTTCTAGCATCCACATAAGTTAGGTTGCTATACTGCCCCTGTAATCATAGCTGTGGGATGCAGAGTCAGAGTCCTCATAGCAACTGGCTAGCTAGACCAGCCAAACCAGGGAGCTCTAGGCTTGAAGTGAGAGATCCTTACTCATTATACATAGTGGAGAGCAATTGAGGAAAACAGCCTATGTTAACATCTGGTCTATACACACACACACACACACATGCCCATCCACATGTAAACGTACATACACATACATGGTGAACAAAGATGTCTATTGCAAGTTAATTTCTTTAACATCTGTCTACCATTTTTTCCCACAGGTTTTTTATTATCAAGATGTTAAATGCAGGGAAGAAATGTATGATAAAGATATAATCATGCTTCAGGTACCTGTTTTAGTTACTCTCCATTAGATTTTCCTTTTCTGTTTTGTTTCTTAAAGTAAGAGGAGATAGTGTTTTTAACTTGAGTTTCTCTCTCCATTAACTGAACATGACAGCATAGAGAGAATGGGTGAGCTTCTGCAAGATTATTCTGTAATTTTCTAAAGGGACTATTAGAGATAAGCAAGCGCTCCTCCATTTAACACATGAGAAATGTGACACTCAGTTTCCCTCATAGATTGGAGCATCCGTAATGGATCCCAACAAGTTCTTGTTACTGGTACTTCAGAGGTATGAACTTGCTGATGCTTTTAACAAGACCATATCCACAAAAGACCAGGTAAGCAACGGAGACTGGTGTGTGAATTAATTCCAAAGGCATATTGTTGTCACTACTCTTTTTTTTTTTTTTTTTTTGGTTTTTCGAGACAGGGTTTCTCTGTGTAGCCCTGGCTGTCCTGGAACTCACTCTGTAGACCAGGCTGGCCTCGAACTCAGAAATCCACCTGCCTCTGCCTCCCAAGTGCTGGGATTAAAGGCATGTGCCACCACTGCCCGGCCACTATTTTTACTTATATTTTAAAAGCATATTTCTTTATATATACAGTTAGCCTTCCATATCTGGATTCTGTATCTACAGATTCATCATACTAAGGATCAGGTAGATATTTTTAAAATTGTGTTTGTACTAGTGTGCAAACAGTACTAAACAATCACTATTTATATGATACTTACATTTACATGATATTTACATTTGGATTAGGTATTATGAGTAATGTAGATGTGCTTTAAAGTGTACGGCAAGATGTGTATGGGTTATTCACAGACACTGCATCAGTTTATAAGGGACTTGTGCCATCTTGGATTGTGTTGTTCTTGTTGGGATGTCCTAGATGTCTAAGAACCATGGTTTATCCCATACTATGGAATTTCTGTACCTCCAGGCATCACATATGCACATAGAATACACAAATATGCAAACATACATACTTTCTTTTCTCTCTAGAAAACTTAGGCTCTATATAGATCAACAAAGAAAAGAGATGTCACTTAACGTACTGCCTTCAGAAAATAAAATACTAGTATTTTGTTTTTAAAGCAAAAGCTTTATTCTACACATACCATTTTATAATTTGTAGCCTGGTTAACAAAATATGATGATAGGATTTTTTTTTCCCTTATAATTGAGTAAATACCAGACCTGTATTGTCATTTTTGCATGATCAGTTTTGAAGTCTATGTAACAGTTCCAGTGCATGCAAAAGCATTTATTTTAAGATAAATTTTATGTGTAAATTTGATAAATAAAACAGCACATTTTTACTTAAGGCTCTTGATAAGTATTAGCAGATTGGAGCATGTGTATTTCTGATAGGATGAGGTTTCTAATATCACATCGGCACTGAGAGACGGTGTGTACAGTGTCATTTCTTTGGTTCATTATCATTGGTTTTCAGGGAGTTAGCGAATTATTAGTGCTTTCCTTTTGTATGTTTTCCTAAAATCTTTTTTCCGTTTTCTATTTTTCTAAATGCTTATTTTGGTATTTTTATTACACTGGAACATTTGTATTGTCTTACAATACCCTGTCCCATCTGTAATGCTTTAATATTTGAAGTACTATCTTATAAAGTAATCCTGACTGGTTTTTTGCTGTTTTGGTTTTTTGTTTTAGTTTTTTGAGACAGGGTTTCTCTGTGTAGCTCTAGCTATGCTGGAACTTGCTCTGTAGACCAGGCTGGCCTGGAACTCAAAGATCCACCTGCCTCTGCCTCCCAAGTGCTGGGATTAAAGATGTGAGCAGCCACCAACAAGGGGCAACCTTGACTGCTTTTTAATTTATTAAATCCTATTCCTTAATTCTTCTGACTTTGAAGTCACTTATGGAGGTCCAAATAATAGGCTATAGAAAGGAAATGATATTTTTGTCATTTTTACCCTCAGTGAAAATAACTGATTGATCAGAAGAAGCTAGATAAGAGATGTTTTAGGTAATGATACTCCTACCATACCTAGGACATGGATGTTAAGCCACTCTCACTCTCCCGGTAAGAAGGATGCGAAGACCAGGGAAAGGGAAAGATTAGAACTTGTTGACTGTGGACAGATAACAATGTAGAGGTGATGTAATGAGGCAAGTGGCCGTTTCTGACAACTGTGATGGAGTACTTCATGTGTACTTCATGTGTGCTTCATGTGTGCTTCATGTGTGCTTCATGTGTCAGGTGGGAGTTTTGGTTCCTACCTTTGCTGTGCTTGGAAGAAAACTCCAGACTGGGTGGACCTTGCATCTAATCAAGAAATACAGACTTGGAGTTTGTGGTTCTTATGTAACTTTTTTTTTTTAATTCTGTAGGATTTGATTAAACAGTATAATACATTAATAGAAGAAATGCTTCAGGTCCTCATCTATATTGTGGGTAAGATTAAAACAAAATTTGAATTAGAACATGATTTACTTTTTAAAGAACGTTCATAAAATATGATTGGAATTTGTCTTCTGTTCTAAATGCTACATGAAGTATCCGAGACTAATGGGACGTGTGTGATGGATAGAAAGTTCTGTAACAGTGAGCCTTGCACAGTATTTCCTCAGTATTGGAGATGAAACCCAGGGCCTTTCACATGTTAGACAAGTGCTGTGCCACTAAACTACATTCCCAGTAACCTCTTAATCTTTACACTTGATTTTTTTTTTTATTGTTGGGTTTTGGAGGTCAAGGTATAAATATCCTGGCTATAAACATAGGGTTTTTAAATCTACTTATTTAGTGCTGATATTTACATATGTGCATGAAATTTAAATATATCCTCAGTCTAATTTAAATGTTTTATCAGGTTGTTTTTGCAAATGACTTTGGGTAGATATCAGAGTGAGAAAGATGGCTGTGAGCCCAGAGTGGGACTGGGAACACGACTCGGCTCCCCAGCAGCAGCAAATGCTCTGAACCAGTGAGCCGTCTTTCAAGCCCCATGTCTGCTTTATAATGGGAAAAATATAAATAAGTTGGAAATATTTGGATTAGGAGTTAGATTATAAAGTCTTGGCCTTGCTTTCAGTTATTAAGAACATGCTATATAATCTTTCAGATTCCTAATCCATACAGTGTGAAAGGAACCTACTCTAAGGTTGCTTCTGGGACTGTGAACCTGGGGGATACCCCTTTGGTAAATATATATACATACATATATATATACATATATGAAAATTATAAAATAAAATATAAAATTAGAAAATTTACAAATGTGAAAATGAGTCATTGGAATAAATCATTTAACAAATTCTTTGTGAAATGTGTGTGATTTAGAGAATATCTAAAAGGATCTCTGCTAGATGTCTTAGGCCTTTTGTAGATATTATAGTGTTGAAAACTAGTGCTGAATATATAGGTCATGAAGGCAGAGTAAGGGGACCACTCAGGAGACCAGTGAAGGGAGAGGGTAGTATGGGAGGTGAATATGGGCAAAGTGCCTGACACACCTGAAAGAATTATCCTTATGAAGCCCATCACTGTGTTAATTAATGTATGTCAATGAAAATTTCACTAGGACCATGGAAGTGGCTCACATTGGTAAAGTTCCTTATGTGAAGGCACAGGACCTGAGTTCAATCTCCAATACGAATATAAAAGTGGGGGAGACAGGCAGGCAGCACACACCTGTAATCCCAGAATTGAGGAGACCGGACAGGAGGATCCCTAGAGAGCAGGTTTGCCAGCAGGGTTAGCTGCATCAGTGAGCTGCAGACTCAGTGAGCAATCCTATTTTAGAAATAAGGTGAAGACCAAGACCCCCTACAAACACATGCACACACATACACCTGCATGCACACATGCTCACACTACACAAAGTAATTTGCACATATATACACTTAAAAAAACATTTAAAAAGCCTAGGGTGCCATATGTTCAAATGTCTTCTTGAAACAGGGGAAGTTAGATTTTTGACACCAGAGACATTCCTATACTAGATTTAGCAATTTCTAATCTCCATTTGACAGGGTTTTTGTTTATGTATTTGTAACCTGGACCTGGGTTTGTAGCTCAGTGGTAGAGTGTGAGTCCTAGGCTTGATACATAATCCTGTTTTATCATGTAAACCATTAATTTTACTTTCAGTTTTCATTTTGTTCTTTTTTATGTACTTCTTTATTTCTCTTGTCTTTTTGTCACTTTCTGTGTCCTCTATCTCTGTGTGTGTGCTTGTCTGTATGTCTGTGTGAGTTTATAGGCGTGTGTGTGTGTTCTTGTGTATGTAAGTGGGAGACAGAAGAGGGCATCAGATCTCTTATAGCTGGAGTGTTTGTGAGCCATCTGGCTTGTTGCACAGGTATGGGATCCAAACTCTAGTCTTGGTGATTGTGCAAAAAGAGTTCTTAACATCTAGGTAGGCACTGTTTGTTTTGTTTGTTTGTTTTTTTCAGTTTATTTTGATTTTCTTTTGCTTGTCTCTCCTCTCCTCTCCTCTCCTCTCCTCTCCTCTCCTCTCCTCTCCTCTCCTCTCCTCTCCTCTCCTCTCCTCTCCTCTTCTTTTCTTTTTTCTGTTTGAGACAGAGTCTTAATGTATAGCTCTGGCTGACCTGTAGCTCACTATGTAGACAAGTCTGGCCTCCAACTCACAGAGATCTGCCTGTCTCTACCTCTTGAGTGCTAGTGTTAAAGATGTGTGCCAACAACATGCCTGACCTTAACAATTGATTATTTTTTAGTGTAGGTATGGGTATGTGCATGTGAGTGCAGGTACCCTTTGAGTCTAGAGACATTGGATCCCTGGGAGCTGGATTAGCAGGCAGTGTCCTGATGTGAGTGTCCTGATGGAGGTTCTAGGAATAGAACTTGGATCCTCTGTAAGAGAAATACATGCTCATGCCCACTGAACCATCTCTCTAGTTTATTGGTTTGACTTTTGAAACCTGGTCTTATTATGTGACCAGGCTTGCCTTTCTGTTTGTGATCCTCCTATTTCAGCCTCCCAAGTGCTGGGATTACAGCAAATTAAAATAAGGGCTGGATTCTTCAGGTCACTGAATGGTTTCTCTCTTTCAACAAATAGTTTATGGTTTGATTTTAGGAAAATGTTGAAGTAATTTGGATTTGTTTTTGTAGACCTGACTTGATGCAATGTTCTGGGTATAAATACATCTGTTAGAACAAAACTTAAATAGAAATGAATGAAGTTTTCTGGTTTTGTTTTTTGTTGTATTAGGAGAGCGTTATGTACCCGGAGTGGGAAATGTTACCAAAGAGGAGGTTATAATGAGAGAGATTACTCACTTACTTTGCATTGAGCCCATGCCACACAGTGCCATCGCCAGAAACCTACCTGAGAATGTAAGTCTACTTTTCTTTAACAGAAAGAAAATTATTTTTAAAAGTATATGTTTGGGTGTTTTTCCTACATGTTTATAAGTGTATCATATGCATGCCTGGAGTTCTTACAGGGTGTTGGATGCCCTGGACCTAGTGCCATAGACAGTTGTGACCAACATATAGAAACTGGGAACTGACCCAGGGAGGGAGCCCTGCTTTTAACCACTGAGCTGTCTTCTTGTCTCTGTTTATATTTCAGTCCCTCTGATTGGAGGAATTCCAGTTTTCGTGGTTGTTTATTTGGTGTTCTCTCTCTCTCTCTCTCTCTCTCTCTCTCTCTCTCTCTCTCTCTCT